CTGCATTTAGCTCTCGAGTTACTCTCCTGCTCCAATTGCAAGTGACAATTTGTCTTTAAGTTGTGTCCCTTTCTCGGACGATTCGCTAACCGTCCAAACCTACTATTAGCTACTCTCGCGCGGGATGCTATAAATTGAGTAAGCTCGTCAAAAGTCGGTTCTCTATTATCTTCCGTCAATTGATCCACCCGATCCGCCCACTGGGCTTGCATAACTTGAGGTAATAGTCTTACTATTCTTTCCAAAGTAACTAAAGAATTTAGATCAGAGGTATAATTCATCTGTTCTAAGACCATAGCACAGTTTTCCATTTTAATGGCCAAGTTTGATAGTTGCTCCCCGTCAGTATAATCAAAATTAACAGCATTAAATAAGTCTTCTAATGTTTCTCGAGCGATTACATGAGACTGTCCGAACAAACGCTTTAGAATTTCCCTTGCTCTCTTATAACCAGAGGATGCTTCCATCATGACACAACCCTCAATAGCTGTCTTCGCCTTGCCCTTACAATAGTGCATGAGATAGAGCAAACGTTGGCTATCATCGGTGACTCTTGATGCTACATACGTCTCAAATTGCCTTATAAACTTCCAGTATCCTCTTGGCTCTCCATCGAAATAACTCAATTCAACCTTTGGTAGTTCTGGGCCAACAACAGGCGCTATAGGCAACATGCTCTTTCCTGGTAATTCAAGCCTTTGCTTCTCCTTTAAACTAAGATTTTTTACGTCATCTGTCATCGAATTAAGACTAGAGTCACTACTATGATAATCAACCCTATTCGAGTCTGAACCATGAAACTTAAGGACATCAAAAGGCACTTGCTTGGTAATAGGGGATTCTTCATTAACATCAACGAACTTTGAGCTTGATTTCCTTCGACGATTAGTTGGCATTATGAGGGAAACGACCAATTATTTCCAGAAACGATAACCAAAATCCGCGAACGATTGCCAAAGGATTTCGGCCAAGTAATAATTGTTTAGAACTGTAGAATCCAAACTACGGTTTGGATGTTGAAGAATAGCCGTCCAGGGACTTTAGACACGCGCCCTTTCCCGTCGAAATCAAAACAAGTAATCGGGTAAATAGCGGTTCTATAATTCATCATAAATTTAAATGTAAATCGTTACCTAAACAAATATTACCACCCGGCTATTCAACCAATAATTGTTCAATCAATCAAATCTAAATTACAATAAATAAAGAAGTTGATAGAAGATGAGGAAAAATTACCAGTCACAACAAATGAACGTTATTCTATCCTGACTGGATAGAACACACACAAAAGGAGGAGCAAATCAATATGGCTACCGCCAAGAACAAGTGTCAAGTAAAACAACACAGATGCAGTTCAGGAAGAAACACAAACTTAGTGAATGCGTAAGAAAAACAAAAACTATAATAAAAAATACAAGTACTAACAATTCAAATGTAATCAAAAGACAACAATGTACAACTAAGGGGATCAATAGGAACAAAGTACAAGTATATACATGGAGGGATTTTCACCAACACACAAAACATTCAAAATGGATCTTACACTTATAAGGCAAGGAAAAAACAGTAATCCCGTTCAAATCTGTCCGCCGTTTCGCTTCGTCGACCTTGAACGGCCTGACCAGAGGCGGTCATTCTGTATTTCAATTGCCGTGGGTGTGTGGAGTCCTATGAGTATTAAGTTTTTCCATATTTAAGTCATCTTATGATGCATAAAAAACACAAACTAACTGCTAAGAGCATTAATTTAGCATTTTCTGTTTTGTAGTGCACACGTTAGGTCTGTTGTTCCTTCGTAATTTGATCTGTGGTCCCAACTGCTGTAGTGAACGTCAACACCTTTATATAATTTCTTGATAAGGTCAAGAAAACAACGTAAGAAAGATAAGATAACGTAAAAAGTTATAGATACGCATAGTTTTCGTGAGTTAAGACGAAATGTCAACTGAAGGGTAAGTCCTAAATATTTGTTGTTCTTCTTTCAGTAATTCTTATTCATGGAATAACCCTTTTTTAAATAACTAAGGCGTGTTGTCTGTAGTGCTTCATGCTCAAGTGAAATTTCAGTGAACGTGAGCGACGCGTTTCAACGTATTATGCTGAACAAGGGATTCGGAAGCTGGATTGAATTTCATAATTCGCTAAAGGATTTCCATAAAGTATGGTAGAATAAATCTATGTTTTTTCAGATACACACTATGTTCACGCAGAAAGTAGATTGTTGAAGGATGTGAGATTTAAATACTTGTTCGTGGTGTTTCGTTGCACGTTTGGTCGTAAACGTCAATCAGAAGGTTTGACAGTGAATAAAAAGCCGTGAGGACCTTAACTAATGTGTGACATTTAAGGTCTAAGTTTTTAAACTGCCAATCGATGTTTCGTATAAGATTAGAGGGTCAAGAATACGTTATAAAGTCTTACAACATGTCTCACAACCATCCATGTAGTAGTTCTTGGATGGTTTGTGAACCGTGGAGTAAAAAATTGTCATCAGAAGAAAAAGAAAACTTGAAACCAGTTATATTGCACTCTCAGTCAACAGAAGTTGTAGAAAGTATTAAGGAGAGAACAGGTAAGCAGGTGACCGCTGCTGATGTCAAAAATATGAAAGCTGAACTCTCCACTGGTAAGTGTATATAAATATATTTCAGGTTGTACTCGGAATCAGGTAATGCGCACGATGCGACAAAACGGTGAAGTTAGAGAGAATGTAGAAAATGGGTGTATTACGGCAATATGCTTCAGCAGTTATGACCAGATACGGTTGTACAGTCAATATCCCGAAGTCGTGTGTATTGATTCTACGTATAAAACTAATAATAAAAAGTGAATATGATTTTCGTTTTATTCTACTATGTAGACATTCATTATAAATTGGAATAAAAACTATGTTACGAGCACAAGCATTGCGGAAATTGATGTGTGATGGAAAAAAGTCTGTTAATAACTGATAAATAACGACACAAAAAATCCACGACAATATGTAACGTGTGCGCGAAAACCAGTGGCTTACCCGCCAGTTCGTGCCTGCTTATAAGTTATTGAACCTATGATTTACGCTCCCTCTAAGTGATGTTCAAAGGCTTTGGGTGGTTAGAACAACTTTACTACCAAGATATTTAACAAATCAAGCGCGCGAAACATGTATTATAAAACACGAACATTTTATTATCCGATATAGTATAATCAAAATTACAATGCCCACATAATATAAACAATTGAATAAATACTAAGGTTATAACTTTTAATCTTAACTAGAGATCTAAGGAAACTTATCCGTGGATGGTATTTGTAATAAGTGATGACTACTCGATATTCTTATTCAGTGGCTGATTAGAATCCACTTAGAACAACGCTCCATAAAAATATTGAATATTGATTTCTTCTCATGGTATGGGGTATTTGGATAACCTGCTAGAACAGGATATATCCCACCAATGTGTGGTGCGTTCGCGAGGTAGGGTCTCTCAACATCTGAAGTCTCACAAAGAATCACTTTAGGTACAACTCCTCTTTTTGGTTCTAAATGATGACCTCTTAGATGAAATTAACTTTCCGACTGTCATATGCTCAAGTGATAGCAAGATGTGGAGTTTCATTAAAAAGTAAAACGATTCACTCGAGCTCCAAAAATACCATACAATGGCAGAGGGATAGGCGGTAGACGGTGGGTTAACGCTCAACCAGTCGAAATATTATGTCACGAACATTCTGCCTCATTTCACAGAAATTATCTACGTGCTTCATGGAAATTCGCTTCTTATTGTCTCCTCAGAACGTAATCTCGGGCTACTATCACAGAGAGCTTAAACGCCATCTGAAACTACATTCGGGATGCAGCTGAAACAAATGCAACTCTTCACTTTATGCAAAGACAACTTGGTACACTCGCCCCAGAATTGTTTCCTCCGCATTAACACGTACCCAAAACATTACTCCAAATTCCACAACATTGGGTCTCCACATTTCGAACGAGATATAAGTGTCTCAAACCAAGTATAAAGACCGACAACCAAACAGGCCAAAGAATAATCTTACATAGACAGACTTCAACACTTGGAATTATTCTCGCTGAGCTATAAGAGAGTGGGTGATGATCTGATAATGATGTACAACACATGAGTATGCCAAGTCGCCTCAACACGTGCATCCCACCAGAACATTATGAGCATGCTTGGCAAACCAACCACCGGAAAACTGCACATCAAGACGAGAAAGCTCGGTCACACTCTCATTTTTTCTCACTTGGAGTCTCTTTCATTTGGAGTGTTCTCACAACCGAAATGATTGCAGCCTCCTCAGCACATACCTACAAGAAGAGACTTGACAAACACACGCTCACCCATAGATTACCATCTACCACTTTTACTAGCTATGCTGGATGCATGTCTCGTAACTTATCTACTACTATCGCTATCAAATGTCATTAATTTATTTCTACCTCACTCACTATCAACTCCGTCTTTCCTTTTCTTCCTACACTATGGTTTGCTCACGATGTTTCCATTGCTAATTTACTAACCTGTTTATTTACTTCTTGAAGCGGTTGTTCACTTTTAGCATTGGAGTTTTCATCTTATTATTTCTCACATTGCAATCATCTGACCTGCTGTCTAGTAATGTGACATTTCCTGGTTCAAGAAACCTCAAATGATCTGAGACAAACCCACTCACTATCATTAGAAGATGTACAAATCCACAACTAGATACCAAACTGAGTAGAAATAGTAAAGTCGAGTGGCTAGACTGTCACTCACTGAACACTGCAAAAGGCCTAAAAGCGCACAAAAACAACAAGAGGCGAGGACAGAAGAATCAATCGATTTACATAAGATCATCACGAGGCGGTTGGAATTTGGATCGAAGAATGTGAAAATCCCTGTCAAGGCCATTATCACTAGTTTCAAAACGTTACTCCACCAACTCTTAGTTTTGACTATTGGGTTGTTTCTACCTCACGGTTGTGTAAGTGCTGATTGTTGTCGGTCAGTCATCTTCAAATGGTGAGTTTGGCACCGGGAGTAAGGCATCTCCAAAGATTTCTGCCACCGCTTAACTCCAAAACGTAATTATTTGCTTTGTCACCATCCTATAAATTTTAGTGGTCGCGTGCATATATTTTCCTTCACTTTGGTGATATACTCGTGCTATCACTTATCCCGAAAACCGATTAGTATTGTAAAGTCAGTACTTCATCAGAATTGTTCTGAAGAAGCCCACAAAGAGGGGAAAATCATAGTTCCTGGAAACGAAACATTCTGTGACTGGGCCCCTTTTGGTATGTGTTCATAAACTGACAGCTTTGAGTCTTACTCCTTGTTTTAGATGGTCAAAATTATGATTCTCTTTTTGGGACACTTGATCTTATTTTCCTCTCATTTTACGCCGTTAGTATGTTCTTAAGGTAAGTTGGTGATTCTTTTTGTAAACATGCTGACACGGTAGTACGGACTTACTTTTTTTATTGGTCCTATAGATTGGGATTTCTTAGACAATGTTTTCGGTTACTGAATTTGCCTATTACTGCAGAATCACTTTCAAGAACTATCGTTTTCAGTCTTGCACAGTGAAGAGGGCAGCATATAGCAATGTATAATCAGTGTAGTGCAAAAGCTGAGTAGTTTTTGAACAGCGCTAAAAGACAAGTGTTTACAAGAGATTTATGGACAGGGGGTATTTTTAAGTGGCCTTCATGAAAGTGAAATATTTGTGAGGTTATTGACAAAACAAAGCTGTTGTAGGAACAGTGAGTTGATGGTCAGTCGCTCGGTTATCAACTGGTAGGCCATGGTTTTGGCCCTCATTCCACCTATTTCGGTTTGAGCAATTGGGTTGTATCGCTATCCATCATACTAGTGGGGTTCAAATCTAGATTCGTAAATCTGTATTTGGTTTGCGATTAGGTCAAGACGAATACATGAGTCGTGAGAAGTGTTGAAGAAACAACGTTCTTTTTTAGTGAGGAAAATACCGTAGTAGTCATGGTTCCACAATGCACTAAGTCACATCATTGAATACTTGTCTTCTTCTGAAGATCTAGCTCCTACTTCCGTCAGTCGTACTTTATCTGGACGCATAAACATTCATACGAAGAGTCATCTCCCGAGCCCTTGACCTAGAGGTCTAATCCACAATGCAGTGAAACTGAGTCAGATGCGATCTTATGGTAATCGGTAGCCAAGAATAAGTTCATCCACCACTCGACCTCCCAGGATCCTGAAGGCTGTGTACACCTGTGACTTGGAATCAGGTTTTGCAAACTTCTTTAGGTGGGTCCGCCGTACCCACCAAATCGGTTTAGGCTCCAGATATCCACTTTCTGTCCTCTCACTTCCGTAAACAGCTTTCGGAGATTGTCACTACATCGTTTCTGACAATTGAATATTTTAGTAGCTGTAGATTAAGCATTTTTCAAGGAGTGACAATCAGGAACAGAAGACTAATAACGACCAGATAAGTGGTTTTTACACAGTTTCTCCCATTTAAAATCAAAGTCCAGCAAAATTCGTATAATGAAAATCTCCAACAATCAAACTTGTCCTTCAGTGTTCAAAAGCAGTCTTCCATTTATTTCCTGTGATGTTGGTTTACTACTACCGTGCCCTTCAAAATGGTCTGTCATGAAGTTTGGAAACGTCTAAACATATTTACAGTAAATTATGTACAGTTTAGTGCTTCTCTGTTTAGAAGTCCGCATCCCAGTCAAGCATTTTTGTCTGTATTTTCACTACTTGAACAGTTTTTGCAAAGCACATGATAAGCTATATGTAACCTCTCGTTTTTTGCCATCAACGGTTATACCTTGCAACCAGAGTTGGAAGAACTACTGCAGCTTGGCATACTAGTTATTTAGAGAAAATCGCTGTCTCGAACGTTACGTCTAAGGAAAGTTAACAAGTAACGAGGAAGTTCGTTCATTCCTAATAAGCTTTCACTGATCACAATGTGGTTAGGATTAACAATTCTCAAATAAGTGGAGGAAATATGACATTTAATAACTTCACATATTAGCGTAAATGTTGGGCTAGGTCAATCCTAAACCATTTAAGGACATTTGTGAAAATATTCTTTTTAGGGTCATTTCTTTAGGTGTTGCCAAACATTTTCAGCTTCATGTTTAGCTCAAAAAGTAAGTCAACCCAAAACCACCAATTTGTAGAACAAACTTCAAGTTGCAAAACATGTTTTGATAAAAAGGACTTAAATGTATGCAAAGGTCCTATTACATAAGGGTATTACGATAGCATTTTCAAGGTGAGTTTAACCACCTTCCATCTTTCCAGTTCGTTCTGTATGCATAAAACTGAAGTCACGTTAGAAATATGACGATTACACATTGGAAAGTATGACGAAGCCCTTCGTTTTTCTATTGAGACTGAAATTAAGTTGTCAGGCAGTTGGATATAGTCTTGGTCAACGAAGTTATCGTAACCAATGATCAGAGACTTTGAATGACATGGCTCAGAATCGTTTACCGTGTTGTAAGTGCACTCACCCTTTGTCGTCCCTGAAAGCCTGAGCTTTTGAATTCTCTACAACTTTTTTGTTTCACTAATTTATATTTTCTCGAATCTTATCTTTGATGTCTAATCTTTTCTATCACCACTCATACTATTACTACCTCTACTCTTCGGGTGCCTGGCCTGACAGTTTAATCTTTCTGTGCTTATTGGATGTGGGAACTTAAACCAATGTACATACGTACCAGATTTCACATTTTCACTGACTGACTGATTGAGTATGGTCTCAGTATAACCTGTTCTTTTCTCCTTATATATATATATATATATATATATATATATATATTTGAATTTTATTATAGTGGACATGTTGCCGATAAAATGGACCTTAGAATTTACCTATGCATTGGTACTCTTCTTTCTGGTGTGACGACAATAGCCTTTGGTTTTGGATACTTTTTCAATGTTCACTCGTTTGCTTACTATGCAGTTACTCAGGTAAGCAGATGTTAATAACATGTGTATACAAATTTTTCCGGTTATGGGGTTGTCCTAGTAATTTCTTTAGTATATTTACAGTGCGGTAACCTCTCATTTTGAGCTAATATTGACTTAGTAATCTTCATTATTTAGTATCATATACGTTCAGATGTTTGTATACTCATTATTGCCCGTTAGAATTACTTGGTAGATTTTGAAGTAGGTGGAAAGTGAATTAACACTTAGATTAATCCATCTTATCGGTTTGTCTCTAGTTTATTCTGTGATGCGTTTATGTATTATTATATTGTTTAAAAAAATAAAAACCAATAAGTGAGTGTGAATATGTTTGTCTATGAATTCATTTACATGGATTAACTGGATCGTTTGCTTCACGTGTGCTCATTTTCAAGCCGTGTTGTCTGTATATGGTTTTGTTTACAATCAGTAATGCTCCTATTATTTAGACTCCTTTGTTGTTCATCTTGTTAATTTCATCTCAATGTGTTGATGTGTCTTGGTTGGTTGGAACACATGACAAGGCCATTGCTTTTAGCTAAATACATCCTCACTATACACAAACTTACAGGTACTTTTAGTGCAGACAGAAATGATGAAGAGTTCTTTTTTGTTGGTATTAAAAGATTACATTGTGAACTAGTTGTTCCAAGCGATTCCTAAAATGGTAAGCAATAACAAGAAAGCCATACGATAGTGATCACCAATCGAAAAGAAGTCCGGAAGAAAAAAGCACAAATGAGATACTACACAACACTAAGACAGAGAGAAAACTATTCTTTTAACAGACGACTAAAATAATGACGTAATACTTTGTTGGATTCATACACCCTGTACATTCAGTCAAACATTGTGATACTAGAAGAAATTAATAACGGGCAATACGGTTCGCAACCGCAAATATCTATATCAAATTAAAGTCTTGTCGAGGTTCATATAATTCGGATGCAGTTTTCATCATTGATACCTGCTACAATCCTACTGGAAACTGATGAATAATTAGTATTCACTTTATCCAACCTTGAGACAACATCACAGTGTGTATTATCGACCGATACAGGGTCAAGTCAATCGGCTTCCAAGTCTCGTGATGACCACGATATTCTTGAATCACCATATTAGAACTCAATGGCTCATAGTTTGTAACTCTTATCAATATGAGATAAATCGTGAGTATCGTTTAGTGTCATCCGATGAACATCCGTTTCACTTCACGCATGACTAATTTCATGGCTTCTAACTAGAGGTTCGTAGACGTTCTCATTTGAGCCATCAATAGTTACCACAAAATATTTAGATTTAAAAATGTTGACAACTATAACATTCTTAACTCGTTTATACTAATATTCGTCATCATTAAAACGAATAGTTTGAAAAAAATTGGGCGCCGAATATAGAGAAGACGTGAAAATTATATTTAAGATAATCTCAGCAATTGAAATTTAAATAATTCCAACGTTTCGCCCAGTAAACTTGTCTGAACTTCTTCAAAACCATCAAAGAAATATATAGGGTTAATAATGTTAATCCAATCATATTTGGATGTTGATTTTAGTAAATAGGATAACATGAGTCAGTTTAATGTGAATCATGTGAAAAGTTCACGTTGTGAAACTAAATGACTGAACGAATTGTTTGTGTATGTATGTGTAAGATTGAGTTAAGAATGCTTGATATTCGGTGTTAATATGTTTTATTTGAAGGAAAAATAAAAGTTTCGATAGTGTAATAAGAAGACGAAGATTTTCAGAACTATGTGATATATTAGCGCAATACATTTCGATCCATCTGATCACACATATACTTGTTAAGAACATTTATATATAAAAATAAAAGGTCAACTAGACTAGAAGTGAAGGGTTAGAGGAGTCAAAGATAATAAGGAAATAATGTGAAAACAGTCTGAAACCTCATCACTCTAGATAATGAGCTAATATTACCAGGGTAGGTTTAAGGTGAGAACAAACTGTTTTTGAATACACAAAGGCGGTTGGAATTTTCGTATTCAATTGTCTGGATGTTTCTCCCACATAAGCTGCATTACAATCATGGCAGTTAATCTTATAGACAATATTTTGTTGTCCTTCCTCTGGGAACCTATCCTTAACCTTCATTAATGCCGATCTTATGGTGTTACACGCCCGAAAATACACTTATGTCATGTTTGTTTAGAGTCCTCTTGATTTCTCCCGATGTTTCACTACGGTATGAGATGACCACGGTGAACTTCCAATCTTTCAGTATACATTCTAGTTTCATTTTTCTCTCATTTCTAATAATCTTCTTTAACAACTCTTTTGGATAGTTGTTATCCTTAGGTGTAAACAAAACTATTCAGTTCAACTTGTTGGTCTTCCTTATCTGTAACGAGCTTAATACTTTGTTGATTAATTTTTTTACAACAGTGACTTTCGTACATAGCGTGTGAGCAGAACCATAATCTAAGTATCTCTCAGAATGTGTTGATTTCCTGAATACATTTATTTTCAACTTATTATTATGTCATCGTCCAACCAAACAATCGAGAAACGCTAGATTGTGGTCACTGAATTTTATTTCCTTCTTTAGTTTAATGCTCTCCGAAATGTCGTTTACATTTCCAAACAATTCCCACTTAGTGATGATAAAAATGTCACAAAAATGACACTTCTCGCGATTGCACTGGTTTGTAGAGAATGCATGAATAAATTCGCTACAATCGAAGAAACTAATGAACCCCTTGCTATACCTGCTTTTTATCTTCGAAGGTCTCTTCGAAATACGAATAAGGTGGACCGTAGAAATAATTCCAAGCATTTGATAACGTCAGATGGATCTAATGGGCATCGTAAATTCAAATTTGAGTCAGATTCTAAACAATCAAACAATATCCAACACTATTGACAGATACATTAGTAAATAAGGAAGATACATCAAAACTTACCAATATTTCATCCTCTTCTATATGGATGATATCGATAATATTCTTGAATTCCACAATTTTTAACTCTATGATTGATCAGTTTACCATACGGTTTAAGTATCCTAGTTAAGTATTTCGCTAGATTGTATGTCGGTGAATTTGTAAAATCGACTGCTGCTCTTAGTGGAGTATTATTCTTGTGAATCTTTGGAGGTATGCAGAGTCTTCGAAGGTTACAGCTCTTTGGATATAACATGAACCATAATGACGATCCTAGTTTAACCTTTAACGATTGTAAAATTTTACTGGTTTCATCCTTAAGTTTATTAAGCGTTATTCTACCTTTTATTAAATAAAGAAACGAAAAGTAGGGTTTTCATTATCCACCCGGCAATTTTTGTAAAATTTTAAAAAAATATTCCCTCCCCCCATTAAAAAATTTTCAACCTCAAAATTACAATATTTTTCATCCCGTTTCGTCCAATGAAATGGCTAGTTTTAAAATTCGTCTTAATTGGTCAGTTATGTCTTGTCAAATTGTTATAAAATATCAGTACTTGTTGACGAAGTACATTTTAATCATCATTATGGAGGAGAGTAACGTGCCGAGTACAAGCGCTGGTGTTTCTCACGTAACGGAAATGGAGGAAGTCTTTTTGGCTACCTTGTTTCTGGTTACGTTTCCATCGGTTGAAGCGTTAAAGACCACTATCACAAATTTTGAAAGATCGACTTACAGTCATTATGTAGTGAGAGATTCGCATATTGGCAGAGATCAAAAATCGTACATTAAATTTGTGTGTTGGCGAAATGGGCGTATAAGATCTAGCGGTTCGTCACAACGTATTAGACGGAGGAGGTAATCTAGTAAATGGTTTTATAATTTTTTTAACGAAGGGCTTCTATGAACACCGAATGTCCGGCCTTCATGTTTTGTAAGATTATAGACGGCTACTGGACTGTTGTACGTGGGAATGTGCATCACAATCACGAGTGCAATTCCCTGAGGTACCAAAGTAATTCATAGGTGCGCAGGTTAACGGAGGCGGAGTTTGAAACTGTGCGACCGCTGCTGATATCTGGTACCGCTGCATTCCACATCAAAAATTATGCTTACCATTCTTATGGGAAACATCTGAATGATCAAGATATCTTTAATATGCGGTACAAAGTGTTCTCACACGCGAACCTTCCTGGTAAGCAATTTGCCAATTTATAATGTAAACAATAGGTAATTACGGAAAATTAAAAGCTCACATAACATCTTTGGGTGGACTTTGCGAATACGAATTAGACGATGATAACTGTCTATCGTATTTTTTCTTCACGACTAGTGATCAAATGATTTTGGCAGGTCGTTTCTTTGATGTTATTGGTTTGGACGGGACATACAAGATGAATAACGAGAACATCTATTTACATCAGGTCGTCGCCCTTGATATGAATTTTAAGGCAATACCTGTTTGTATTGCATTTGTAAGTCGCAAAACATCGACTTTTATTTCTCGATTCCTGTTGTTTTTCCAACGGTCAACCAACAGTCGAGTACACCTGCGCACTCCTATAACGAAGTTTGTAATGTCTGTTGACTTATTCACGGCTGTGGACTCAACAGGCACTTACTATGTACACCGCGATACCATGCGAACAAGGTGTACACGACACAAAATATGGTGAGCATTTGGATACACCTGCGTGATGGCAGCAGCTATTGCAGTTGAATCATCCGTCACAATGCCTACCACCTGTCGACTGTTGGTTGACCGTTGGAAAAACAACAGGAATCGAGAAATAAAAGTCGATGTTTTGCGACTTACAAATGCAATACAAACAGGTATTGCCTTAAAATTCATATCAAGGGCGACGACCTGATGTAAATAGATGTTCTCGTTATTCATCTTGTATGTCCCGTCCAAACCAATAACATCAAAGAAACGACCTGCCAAAATCATTTGATCACTAGTCGTGAAGAAAAAATACGATAGACAGTTATCATCGTCTAATTCGTATTCGCAAAGTCCACCCAAAGATGTTATGTGAGCTTTTAATTTTCCGTAATTACCTATTGTTTACATTATAAATTGGCAAATTGCTTACCAGGAAGGTTCGCGTGTGAGAACACTTTGTACCGCATATTAAAGATATCTTGATCATTCAGACGTTTCCCATAAGAATGGTAAGCATAATTTTTGATGTGGAATGCAGCGGTACCAGATATCAGCAGCGGTCGCACAGTTTCAAACTCCGCCTCCGTTAACCTGCGCACCTATGAATTACTTTGGTACCTCAGGGAATTGCACTCGTGATTGTGATGCACATTCCCACGTACAACAGTCCAGTAGCCGTCTATAATCTTACAAAACATGAAGGCCGGACATTCGGTGTTCATAGAAGCCCTTCGTTAAAAAAATTATAAAACCATTTACCAGATTACCTCCTCCGTCTAATACGTTGTGACGAACCGCTAGATCTTATACGCCCATTTCGCCAACACACAAATTTAATGTACGATTTTTGATCTCTGCCAATATGCGAATCTCTCACTACATAATGACTGTAAGTCGATCTTTCAAAATTTGTGATAGTGGTCTTTAACGCTTCAACCGATGGAAACGTAACCAGAAACAAGGTAGCCAAAAAGACTTCCTCCATTTCCGTTACGTGAGAAACACCAGCGCTTGTACTCGGCACGTTACTCTCCTCCATAATGATGATTAAAATGTACTTCGTCAACAAGTACTGATATTTTATAACAATTTGACAAGACATAACTGACCAATTAAGACGAATTTTAAAACTAGCCATTTCATTGGACGAAACGGGATGAAAAATATTGTAATTTTGAGGTTGAAAATTTTTAATGGGGGGAGGGAATATTTTTTTAAAATTTTACAAAAATTGCCGGGTGGATAATGAAAACCCTACTTTTCGTTTCTTTATTTAATAAAAGGTAGAATAACGCTTAATAAACTTAAGGATGAAACCAGTAAAATTTTACAATCGTTAAAGGTTAAACTAGGATCGTCATTATGGTTCATGTTATATCCACTGACTTGAAGAGAAAATTCACTGTATTCTGGTCGTGGAGAAATTGTTCCTCATCAATTTCACTGTCCAAAGAGACACAAGAAGCATTTATGATTTAAGTAACCTATACCTCTTGGCTCATAGGGCATCCTTCAAAACAAAATGTAAAATATTAAAATAAATATCATTCAATGCTTTGTACCCATCGATGATAGCAGTGAGGACGACAAAGACCAGACAATGGAGAGCTGCAGTTTCTTATAGAAAGGTACCTATGAAAAGGCTTGACCATTTTGATGGACAACCTAAATGCCAGTGTCGAAATAGACAGCATTATGTACGAACGCATAAGGGGGCTCCATAGATTGAAAGAAAGGGATGAGAGTGGTCAGGGATGTGAGAGCAATAAAATGTACCATCAAATTGTTAGGAATGAAACCGAAGAAACCAAGTTGTAGTAGGTTCAAGAAACACAGGAGGATCACACTACTGTCAGTACTAGGTAAGGTTTCGACAATCCTGCCAAACCCAACAGGAAATTCAGTTGACGTCCAAATTCGGCACTACCAAGCTGGCCTCAGAATGGGTCAGTCATGTACCGAACAAGTCGCAACACTGAAGATCGTTGTTGAACCATCGATTGAATGGGACTTATCACTGTACATCAATTCTCTTAGTTATAAGAAACCATTTAGCGTCATGGACCAAACAACCCTGCAAAATCCTCCTCAACATTATGGAGTAGCTGAAAAGATTGTTAGTATTATATCGATCTCTTACAATGAAGTGAATTGCGAAGTTCTGCATAGAAGGAAGCTCACGGATGCATTCCCAGTGAAGACCGGTGCCAGACAAGGCTACCTCATCTCACCTCTCTTCCTGTTGGCTATTGACTGGATTATGAAGACCTCTAAAGCTCACGAAAAGCACGGAATATAGTGGACATCTTGAGCACAGCTAGTTTACCCGGACTCTGCAGATGCTTTAGTCGTACTGTCGCATAAAGCAACAAATGCAAGTGAAGACACCCAGTGTAGCAGTGGCTTCCGCAGATGTAAGCCTCAATATTCACAAGGGAAAAAGCGAGATTCTGAAGCACAACATAGCGAGCACCACCAAAGTCAGACGTGATGACGTGATGCTCTGGGACACGTTGGGGCCTCATCTAACTGGACACCATCGTTGATAAACAAGGAGGATCTGATGCAGATGTGAAGAAACGAATTGTCAAAGTAAGGGAGAGTTTCATGTAGTTGGCCAGTGTCTAAAACTCTGAAGTACTACCATGCATGATCCAAGTCAGAATTTCCAACATTTGAAACGTCAAAACAGTTCTACCGTACTGAGCTGAAAATTGGAGAACTACCACAAGCTTCTGAAATAGAGCACAGGTATTTATAAATAGTCGTCTATTGAAAATACTCTAGACCCGTTTGGTCAGAGACCAGATAACAAATGGAACACCGCGTAAGGAGGAAATCGGTGAAAGATGATTGAGGTGGATCGGACACAGTTTACGGAAACCATTAAACTGTATCACAAGGTAAGTCGTAATCGGTAGAGTTCAAGACAAAAAGTAAGAGGCAGACCAACTAAACGTGTGGTGTCGACAATTGGAGTCGAACATCAAGATCATCGATCGCACTTGGCAACAGTTGGAGAAAGGATCCCAGGACAGATTTGCTTGGTGATTCTTCGTCAGCAGACCATACCTCAATAGGGATAACGATTTTCAATATGTGGGTGATAAAACGTCAAGAAAATATTTACTCACAAATTCTTCTGATTCTTAATTCTCACTTGCTTCGGTTCTCTGGATTCGTTAAAATGAGTTTAACGCACAGAGATATATGGAATCTAGTGATACTATGTGTCTGCAAATCAGTTTCTCACTAGACTTGATTATCTGGTTTTAAAGGCAAAGTTACCAACCAGATAAACTGGGTTCAGTAATATGATATGCCTATATACAGAATATGAACGCGGAAGCAACATGATTAGATATTATAGGCGATTAGAGGATTTCATATTTGTAGATCATTAATTTCCGGTGAATTAGCGTTGAGCCTAATGCTTTCACATTACCAAGTTTACACGTACTTTAACTATAAGCACACGTCTTCATAAATTATATGAGTACAGAGATTCCTCTTTAGTATGTTCAAATACTGAGTGCTGTGGTGTGATTTTACAATCTAACGTTTACAATACATTCTTCTGGTCTTTGAATATTACCATTAAGCCCGTTTTCTCATTAAAATACGACGCACACGACTTATAGTGACATTTTATCTAAGTCTTTTGATATATATATGGCTTGTTGCTAGGTCCAGGTATCCAAAGTTCATTGAATATCTAATAATTCAAATACCTGTCAATTATCTATCCATCATAACAGAAACCAAGCTCTAACATCAATAAACTTTATAAAGGTTCATGGTCATATTGCAATATCCTATTACTAAATTCAAAATTCTACAATAATTCACTGTTGTTGGTACATATTCATATAAGAACAAAGATAAGATTAATAGCTTGTTTGTAACATCAATGCATCATTTGATTAATCTTTCTTTATGTTCACTTCCTTCGGAGACTAATTTTAAGTCTTTTTGAAAAGTGTGGATTCTTATCTGCATAACATTCGCCATTTATTATTTAAAAAACGATGTTGAAATTGAAACTTTCAAGTTCCCATAATTTCTTAATTATGAACAGCATAATGTTTTCCAATCTTTGCAATATTGTACGCTGATATGTTTTAGGGTGTTGCTGGAATAGTTCAAGCATCCGGTTGGCCGGCAGTTGTAGCTTGTATGGGGAATTGGTTTGGTAAAAATAAGTAAGCAGCTTTTCCAATTAGTATGAAACTTCTTAATCAATAATATAGTTCAACTTTACCATCTTTTTTCTTTTGTACAGTCCTGCATCACAGAAATGTCCTAATATTATGCCTTGACGTCTACGTTTGTATATTTAGAAAACCCATATACTTTTCGAATTGGTCCACCAAGGTTTTTGATACCTGTATGATTACGCCACCGGATTGAGCTGTGCTGTTCAAGTTGTAAAGAGCTTGAATGGTGTCTGGTTCTCCTGAATACAGAATGATATAACGGTCAAATAGAAATATTTCTTCCCCTCTATGATACATTTCTACTGTACGATAATGAGACTGGTGACCGATATTATGCTACCATTAGACTAGATGCTGGATTGATGTTTGCCCCCGAATCCCCAGGTACGGCTAAGAGTGGAGAGAGTTCGCTCTCCCTCTCAGAATTCTCTCATATAACCACACGTATAAAGCCACTGCCGGGAAATTTGTACTCACTGCTTTCTCGCCGCGGTGGAGTTGTTTACGGAAGTGAGAGGACAGAAAGTGGATATCTGGAGCCTAAACCGATTTGGTGGGTACGGCGAACCCACCTAAAGAAGTTTGCAAAACCTGATTCCAAGTCAGAGGTGTACACAGCCTTCAGGATCCTGGGAGGTCGAGTGGTGGATGAACTTATTCTTGGCTACCGATTACCATAAGATCGCATCTGACTCAGTTTCACTGCATTGTGGATTAGACCTCTAGGTCAAGGGCTCGGGGAGTGACTTTCTCTACCTTCTTAAACAACTATCGTGAATACTTAATGACATACAGTTCAGTTCAGTTTGCGTAAGGACCGAGAAGCCTGGTGGTCGGAGTGTGCTAATGAGCTGGAAGCAGCAGCTGCATCGGGTAATTACCGGAAGCTCTTCCAACTCATCTGAGCCACTGACAGCAAGAAGTCTGGTGTGAGCGAAACAATCTGCAAGGATGACGGGATGTCAATCACTAACATCCATCGACGTCTTGGACGATGGGCAGGATTTTTTTGAATGGCAGTTCAACTGGCCTGCTGCTCCGGCAACATCGGTCAGACTGTCCTGCCCTCCATGGCCGGTGACGACTGATCCACCAAATGAGGAGGAAGTCCGCAAGGAACTTCAACTCTTGAAGCGTTACAAATCACCTGTCCCAGATGACTTACCTCCGGCTCTTTTTAAAGATGGTGGTGACTTTTTGACTAAGGAATTGGCGACGTTGTTTACAAAGGTGTGGGAGCTAGAGAGTGTACCAACGTCATGGAATGAGTCTATAGGAGCATAGGCCACTCACCAGCATTCTCCATCCAACCCTGTCCTGGGCAATCCTTTCCAGCTCCGTCCAGTTGTAATTCATCCTTTTCATATCTGCTTCTATTATCCGACGCAATGTGTTCTTTGGCCTTCCTCTTTTTCGCTTCCCTTCAGGGTTCCAAGTTAGGGCTTGCCTCGTGATGCAGTTTGACGATTTGCGTAATGTATGTCCTATCCATTTCCATCGTCTTTTCCTAATTTCTTCTTCAGCTGGAAGTTGGTTTGTTCTCTCCCACAGAAGGCTATTGCTGATGGTATCCGGCCAGTGGATGTTGAGTATCTTGCGTAGGCAGCTACTTATAAATACTTGTACTTTCTTGATTGTGGTTGTTGTAGTTCTCCAAGTTTCAGCTCCATACAGTAGAACTGCCTTGACGTTCGTATTGAAGATTCTCACTTTGATATTGGTTGAAAGTTGTTTTGAGTTCCATATGTTCTTCAATCGTAGGAATGCGACCCTTGCTTTGCCGATCCTCGCCTTTACGTCTGCATCTGAACCTCCTTGTTCATCGATGATGCTTCCCAGGTATGTGAAGGACTCTACATCTTCCAGAGTTTCGCCATCAAGAGTGATTGGATTGCTGTTCTCCGCCTTGAATTTGAGGACCTTGGTTTTCCCTTTGTGTATGCTGAGGTCTACTGATGCAGAGACTGCTGCTACACTAGTTGTCTTCATCTGCATCTGTTCGTGTGTACGTGATAGGAGGGCTAGGTCGTCTGCGAAGTCCTAATCGTCTAATTGATTCTGAGCTGTCCATTGTATTCCGTGTTTTCCTTCAGATGTTGAGGTCTTCATAATCCAGTCGACCACCAGAAGAAAGAGGAAGGAGAGAGTAAACAGCCTTGTCTGACTCCAGTCCTTACTTGGAATGAGTCGATAGTTGTCTCTATCTTTAAAAAGGGTTCACGTCGTTCCTGTAACAACTATCGGGGGATAAGTCTACTTCCGATTGCGTCCAAGCTATTGGCTTCCGTCATACTTCGTAGGTTGTTCAAAACCCGAGAATGATTGACTCGCGAGGAGTAGGCTGGGTTTCGTTCCGGTCGAGGATGTATTGATCATATCTTCACCCTCCTCCAAATGTTAGAACACCGTCATACTTATCAAAGGGCAACAATTGTAGTGTTTTTTGACACCAAAGCTGTCTTTGATTCACTGGACAGGACTGTCCTCTGGGATTGTCTATTGAAGAAGAGTGTGTATGAGAAGTTTATTAACATCCTAAAAGCCCTATATACAAACACCTGAGGCAGAGTGAGGGCATACAACTACCTCTCTCCATTGTTCCATTCGAGCAGTGGGGTTAGGCAGAGTTGCCCAATCTCACCATTCCTCTTCAACTTTGCCATCGATAACATTCTAGAAACAGCTCTGATGGATGTAAGTAATAGTGGTGTGGATCTGTTGCCTGGAGAAAGACTTCTCGGCCTTGAGTATGCGGACGATATTGTCTTACAGTGTGATAATGCCCAAGGCATGCAATCCACACTTAATCGGTTGGCAATCAGTGTCCGTAAGTATGGGTATGTGCTTTGCACCTTCGAAGTGCAAAGTACTTCTACAAGACTGGCAGGATTCCAATCCTGTACTCACCCTGGATGGTGAGCAGATAGAAGTATTCGAGAAGTTCGTGTATCTGGGTAGCTGCATAAGTGCTGGTGGGGGTGTGAGTGATGAGATCAATGCACGTATGGTGAAAGCCAGAGCGGCTTATGCCAATCTGGGCCATCTTTGGCGCCTTCGTGATGTTAGTCTGGCTGTAAAAGGTCGGATTTACAACGCGTCGGTGAGAGCAGTTTTGCTCTATGCTTGTGAAACCTGGCCTCTCCGAGTTGAGGACGTTAGACGACTTTCTGTGTTCGATCATCGTTGTCTCCGAAGGGTTGCTAACATCCAGTGGCAACACCACGTTAGTAATGCAGAGGTTCGGCATCATGTGTTCGGGCACAGAGACGATAATGCAATTGGTGTCACCATCTTGAAACACCGACTTCGGTGGCTTGGACATGTTCTACGAATGTCGTCCCAGAGAATTCCACGTCGTGCATTATTTGCCGACTCTGGGACTGGTTGGAAAAAGCGGAGAGGTGGTCAGCGTATGACATGGTGTTGGGACATGAAAGAAAGCTGTACGGGACTGGTTTCTGTTGTTCCTTCCTGACTGGGGTCCGAGAGATGGTGAGACACAGTGGCTAGAGACGTTATCAGATATGGCTCAGAATAGAAGCCAGTGACGATCCTGCTGTAACCTTCTTTTACTTTGTTCATAAAAAGTGGTTGTATCTCCCTTAACTGAAAGATTTCTTCTGATTGTACCCTTCTGTTCCCGTACTATTGCTATTATTATTATTATTACACTACCTTACACCAATCTCTTCGTTATTGTTTTTTATTATTTTTTTTACGTTCCTCACTTTTTTTTCTTAGATTCTCATCGTTTTGTGTGGCGCATATATATTCGGCGCACTCCTGTACCAATATATATGTGTTCAAATAAAATAAAATAATGACATACAAAATCATTGTATACTCCCTTATCCTTCTATTTCTTACTGTCCCCATTCTATGTTTACTTTTATTTTCTAACTCACACAATAGCTCACTTGTGGCGAAAATTCTGTCTTGTCTGAATGGTCTCAAGTCACTCACTGGTCATAAGTTGAATGCTGCCACCGATTACAACTTCTCAACCATTCTTTCTTAAACTATGCATACTTTTCAGACTAGTTTTCTACACTAACTCATGTCGGATAATAGATATGGGGTTGAATCTGTCTTTAAAAAATCTTAACACCGACGTCGGTTGTCTATCAGAAACCTGTATTCAAGATTTTAGTGAAATACTACATATTTGATCTCCATTTCATAAATCAAGAGACTTGTTTTGTATACATTTTTCTGGAGACTGTGGGATCTTCGGTTTTGCTGGCCTTTGTGTCACACTACGCTCCAGAGCAGATGCAGCACTAACAGATTGAATCCCTATAAACAGTCGATTATCTGTTGTTAGATCAAAATGGGAAGAACGATGTCTTCCGTAGTATTTGCCTACACCCCGACAGATTACAACCCAAATACAATCAAGGATCAGTTCTATCACCAGTTAAATGGTCTACTCAGGAAAGCTCGTTCGACAGATACTGTATTATTAACTGGAAATTCAAATATCCAGATAGGGTGTTTAGGCACAGAGGAGACCCCTCTAGATGGCCAGTAGGGACTTGTTGGGCACAGGTCAAGTAGCAGCGACCGTCTCCTGCAGCTTTGTGGAAACTACAACCTGTTTCTGGTTGGCGCTAACAATCGACACAATCATCTCCGACATGTTGCGTGACGTCATTTCTCCTCAACTCGAGCCTGGACTCATATTGGTTATATCGCGACTAGTTCTTGATGTTGTGGTTGTATATCAGACTGCTACTCTCTTAAACGCACTTATCTGGACTCTGATCATGACCTCTTTTCTCCAGTCTTATTTTACGCTTCAGTGGCCGGTAAATTCATAGAATTTATATAAACACATTTTCTGTACCCGAATGTTAAGGTGAGCTAGGTTCGAGACTTGTTATCAACATATCGTAAAGCATAGATGAGCACATGACGTCATGACAGTGACGGATAAAGTTGCTTGTGGCTTCACGAAGCGTCCCGGTTTTAGGCACTGGGTTTTTACAGGCTCCTTACAGCTTGAGGCACGTCGGTCTACGGCTAACCTCTAGATAAACGTAATTCCTTACGTAATTAAATTGTGGAGAATGTGCTTAAGGACCTAGGAGCCTAGTGGTCGGAGTGTGTTATCGAGTTGGAAGCAGCAGCTGCATCTGGCAACTGCCGGAAGCTCTTTCAACTCATCCGAGCCACTGAACTCAAGAAGTCTAGTGTGAGTGAAACAGTTTGTGAAGCTGATAGTGCGCTAATCAATAACATCTGACGTCTTGGATGATGGACAAAGTTATTCGAGAAACAGTCCAGGTGGTCTGCTGCCCAGGCCAGCCTCAACTAATTCATCTAAGGAGGCGGAAGTCCACAAGTAACTTCAACTCCTGGAAGCACTATGAATTGCCAGACTCAGGTGATTTATGTCCGACCATTTTTAAGGATGATGGTGAACTTCTGGTTAAGAAACTGGGTTATTTGCAAAGGTTTTGGAACTAGAATATGTCCCGAAATTCTGGAATGGGACAACTGGATGGTTTGGTCGTGGAGCTTTCATCGTTCTTCTGAACGACATCATCAGCAGCACAAACCTCAGATAGAAGTCTGAAGTTTGTGCTGACGATGTCGTTCAGAAGAATGATGAAAGCTCCAAGACCAAACCATCCATCTCAGAGAACAAAACACCACCATAACTAATGCTATGTATGATTACTATGCAATCTATTATTGTTAAAATGTATTAACATCACTTTTTGATAGTCACATAGATTGGGATCCTCAAATTAGATTTTATACTTCATCCAGTTAATGGGTAGAAATAAGAGAAACGTGTGATGAATGCTTTAATTAGGCGTGCTATATTAGCCAGTACAATAATGTATTGGGAAATGTATAACCTTGGGAAAACGAAAGCTTGCTATCATCATTCTATTTGGTCACCACCCCTTGGTGTGTACCATTCAGGGGTTGTATAGGCTTCTTGATTGGTGACAACAAAATTATTAGTTAGAGATATTATATGAAACGATGCATAAGTAACCTAAATAGTTCAGATCCACCTACTTTTTATTGGTTTAGATCATAGGTGTAGTATTTAGTCTTAGCCTTTTTTATTTGAGTTATTTATTATTATGATTATTATTACTACTACTGTTATTATTATTATTGTCATTACTATTACTACTACTGCTGCTATCATTGCTATTACTGTCGCTACCATTACTATTTTTATTATTATTATTACCGTTGTTGTTACTACTACAATTATTGTTGTTACTATTATCATTATTACTGCCACTATTATTGTTATTATTACCATTACTATTGTTATTGTTATTATTTCGGGCACAACTTTTTTCATACTTGTCGATTGATTGGTGCTCAGTGTCGGAAATGAACTGATATGCTTTTATGCTAGATCCTAGGGTATTTCTATCTGAGATCATGGAATTTAGTAGTATCGCGGTGTGTGCTACTTATATTGACATAAGTAGTATATGATGTTGGTTGTGAATGGAAGGTCTGGCAGCAGAGAGACAAGAGGGTCGAACAGTAAAGAATGGGAACCGGATGCGATTTGTATGAAAATGCAAGAACAATGAAGTCGGAGTCATTTTGAGACAGTTGGTGGACATTTTGCAAATTAAGTATTTACTTTATGATTGTTAGGTTTTATTAACAAGTCCTGTAATTTTGTGTTAAATACATCCGATTGTCCCCACCCGTGTTCTGTTCACTACAGTATAACTTCCATTCATTTTTACCTTAATTTTCAGGAGAGGATTTTTCATGGGAGTTTGGACAGCGCATTCTAGCATTGGGAACATTTTGGGCTCCTTAGTTGCTGGTGCCTTTGTAGAAATAGCTTGGGGATGGTCATTTGTTATTCCAGGATTAATAATTGGACTTCTCAGCTTACCAATTTATCTGTTTCTCGTACCGTGTAAGTTTACTTTGTTTTTTAACACTCGATTTGAGCCTTCGTGTGATTTGTTTTATTGTTGAAAACTCGCTGCGCACTTCGGAATTATCGACACAATAGTGATGGAAAGGGTTAACTCAGTAAATGCAAATTGATCGGATTGAGTTAACCCAACAACCCTATGCGTCCGCAATTCAAAGACTAAGTTTGGCCTGCGACTGCGGTAAAATACACTTGACGGAGGAATGCTACTGTTGATGTATAGATTTCCTTTTCAGTAATTACTATTTGCATTTAAATATTAACTTAGCGGAATTTATTCTTGGATTATGATTGATATCAGTTCGGAATAAAAATCTTAGTGATTCATATATAAATATTTATTCTTGTTGCTGAATCTATTATAATCGTATTACCTTTTTAATCATAAATCAATTCGTAACCAAACATTGTGTTGTCGTTGGCTAAAAAAGTGACTTAAGATCATTTGTATGCTTTGCTTCCATCCTGACCACAACATTAGTAACTGAATTTGCCGAAATTTATCCGGATGCTAAACTGAATGATCATCATATTGAATTCATCAGTATTCTTACTCTTGGTCGCTTTTTATCATTTACATAGGTTTTTGTTTTGTTTTCGTAATTATATATTTTTTAAAATCTAGTGGGGTCCAAGGCATAAGTTACATAGTCGTGTTTTTTTAAAGCTCTTGTTTTTCTTGAAATTCGGTTTGATATAATTTGTTAATAGCTTCGTAGCAAATTACTTTTTAGGATACTGTTATCTAAATAGATGAACTGTAAACAATCACCAGATCAGTTTGATTTATTCTAATTTTGATGATACGATTTGCGAGTCTGGATAATAGCGAAGTGAATTAGAATATCACAATCTTTATATTTTCGAATTGTGGATATGGTAGATAAGAAAAACCTTGCTTATCACCGGTGACTGATGACTCCACTAACTTTGAGAAATTAACTCTAAGCATCCGTTTTAATCGGTTAACAACGTATGCATTCTATTGTTTATCCCAATCAAGTTTGAATCACTGGATTTAGGGACCCACAATAAACGATGTAAGAAATCACTTAGTACTCCATCTGCTCAGGTGATCACAGTTCTTAACAGGATGCAAGAAAAAGTACGAGTTCTTAAATAGTGTTCATGAATCGTTGTGTAAATTTTATTCCACGTTACTCATATCGTCTTCAAATACTGGCTTGCTAATACACCTCAAAATGACAGTCTTTAAACCAATAGACCGTCTTTATAGCGAAATTAGGACAAGGAAAATAAGTATAGAATTGGTAAGTTAGCATGTGAGTTACGCTAACTGCTATTAAGTTAGTCATGTAAGATAACTGTGTTATTCACGTAAGGCTAATGCTTTAAATTACACAACACTATACAGTGGCCCTGATTCTGACCAACTTTGTTTATATTGCCGTTCATGTATTATATTCATTGACGTGTAATCTAATTCCCAGTTAGGTCTCAGTGTTATCTCAAAAAAGACCAGTTAAATTTTGTTTCTCAATTTCATGTCATCGGTAATAAAAAAGAAGTGTTTACGGTTTGTTTAGGCCATATCACTTGTTCATTCCCTATCGACTAGAAAAATAGTTCGAGATTTTGTTCGTTTATTTGTAAGTTGAGTGCCTATTTGCCTATGCTCAGTGGTTAATTACATATACTTTCACTATCGTACAAATTTACCAAGTATAAACTCGTGTACTCGGTGCTATGATCCACACTATCCGAATAGTAATCGGAGTCATATCATACGTATCTTCTTTTATATTTAGATCCTGAATGTGTTGAAGTTCAACTTCCTGTCCAGCATAACACAAATGTATGTTTAAGCACTTTAAATATATTTGAAAAATGTCTTTTTTTTAAAAAAAAATTTTAAACTTCCAATGTACAGTAACTTGCACTTAACCGTTTAAAGTGATAATAGAAAGTTACAAATGTTTTTCTCATTGTGTATTAAAATGTTCCTAATAAAGTGTTTCACTAATTCATGAAGAGCGTTTTATAGTAAATGTAATCCTTTTACTAATTTTAGATCTATTTAGTCGGGTTTGTGGCAAGTCGCGTGTATGTCTGTGCTACAGCCTAAGGCCGCCAATCAGAAACAGCGAATTACCGATCGAACCAAGGGCGTGTAAAACACGTGCGAGCAACCTAGAGTTCTGATTGGTCCTGCTTCCCGCCTAGCCCAGCCAGTTAGGTCCAGAACACAAGTCTAAGCCTCTGGCGATACGAATCATGTATTTCAAACATAATCTGTTTATATACCAATCAAGCAGATCACATCGTATCATAAAATAGAAAACAACAATTGTACAAGATTTGGCCAAATGTGGCTGTGAATGTGGGAGGTGGTGGTTAATAGACAGGGAATAATTCAAGAATGGAAAATCGTATAGTAACAGTTCATAGGTTAAAATAAAGCTTATGATAAGAGAGATATGAATATGAATAGTTAAGTTAATTAACAATTATACTCACAGTATTGGTCCATAAACAGATCCCAAAAAATTACCACTCATTATTCTTATCGGGACGCAACAGTCTTTGAGAGCTAACGATAATACCTTGCTCTTTAAACTCAAAGTAGAGTGACGTTTCAAACCTTATTGAAAGCTGAGTCATTTAAACAGTTACTCCATTCATCTATAGTTGAATTTTATGATCATAATTATGAAAAGTAATAACTTTTGACAAGTTATCACAATTCACGAGAGCATAGAATAAAAAGAAGAAATTATTATTATCTCAGTAAACAAATATATAAGCAGATGCATAGTAATAAATTGTCCAATATTCAGATGGAGGTGAGAGACAAGTATATCTGTGACTGATGTTAAAGCATTTCATTTAATGCCACCAACTGATTTCTAACATATTGAGAACCTTTTTTTCAACTGAATTGTGTAGCTTACACTGTCCTACTTGGCTTGAACCAACACTCAGTGGCTTTATTATTTAGTATGTGTAGATTGGAGACTCCTTAACAATTTCCCAATTTGATTGTACGTCAATCAGTGTTACTAGTTTTAAGAAATGGTTTGATATTTAGCCCCTAGACGGCCTGGTACGGCCGAGGGTGGGGAGAGTCCGCTCTCCCTCTCGAAATGCTCTCGCATGGCCACGCGTATACAGCCACTGTCAGGGAAGTCATTCTCGCGGCAGGGGTGTTGTTTACGAAATTCAGAGGAAGAAAAGCGAATATCCGGCGCTTTTACTGGGTTGGTGGATATGGAGGATCCACCTAGGGGAGTTGGAAAACTTTGATTCCAAACCAGTGGTGCGTCGTGGCTCCAGGATTCTGAGACAACGGATGACTCATTGTTGTTCACCGGTTACCATTAAACTACCTATCCTAACGTTGTTCCGTTGCCTTGTTGATCAGACCTTTGGGTCAATGGCTCCGGGTATATTCCGCTGAGAAAACCACCTGCTTCAGTCTGGGTACCCGGGCATTATCACAGCCCACACACAAATGAAGTGACTTTTGTGGCACATATGTATATGGTGTCTCTTTGTACCAATATTTATGTGTTCAAATAATTCGATATGTAAAACATCATATCCAGGCTAATTCAGTCAGTGCAAACTTGAAACCCCATCAGTTTGGCTACCGTCAATTAAATTTTTAGTATATAATGGAATCAAAATTACCTAGAAAAATATATGGAAATAGTCAAATATGGATCTAATCACTTACGTATTTATTGAATCATTACATAGAGTAAATTTGTACACATAATCACCCTGCTTGATCAACGTCGAATCAATTTAAACAGGAAATTAGATGATTTGGTTTTATTTAGGCTGTGGTTTCGCAAACGTATTTGCCCTATACCTCAATAGAGTTAATGGTTATATGTAGTAAGTCAGTCGGCAACAACGTAGAACTTCGTATCATATCATTATGAGTAAAGTTTTCGAATAAGATCATGACAATAATTATCAAAATTATTTGAACTATATTAACAAGCTTTTTGGATTGTCAATTCGAGCATTTCGATAATGCAGTGAGAAGACGAAGCTTATCAGAATTATGTGATATATTTGTGCAATACATTTCGAACAATCTGATCACATATATACTTGTTATGACATTTTTATGTGAAAATTAAAAGGTCAACTAGACAGGTTAAAGGTAAGCCGTAACAAGGAAAAAATAATAATAAAATACACAAAAATGTGATAACCACTCTGGATAATAAATCAGTATTATCAGGGTAGGTTAAGGGTAAGGACAAATTGTTTTCTAACGCATGAAAGGGGTTTCAGCTTTCGTATAGCTAAGGCTTAAATAAACCTTAGCATACGTCCTTGAAGGCTTTTGTACAACACTACAAATGCTGACTTGATGTCAACCTTATGACCAGTCTCAATCAAATGTTTCGTAATGGAGGATGATATCTGTCTATCCTGTGATCTTATTTGACCATTGGAATTCATTTGTTCCTGCAACCATTTTGGCATGTGTTCACCCACCGTTGATTGCAAATCACGATTGCTCCTCCCTATGTACGTGTCCTGCACATACATGTAAATTGATAAACGGAGAGTTAAATTAGCCATCAACCGGACATTTTATGCAGCCCAATTCGTCATTACTGAAAAGACAAGGTGCATGTTTCATCAAAAGCCCAAACAGCACGTACGCGATTGTGTCACATTCCATGGATGGATAGACACAAAGACTGTGTTCATTGAAGTCTTGCTACATATAACTTCAGTGAATATAGTCTTTGTGTCTATCCATCCATGGAATGTGACACAATCGCGTACGTGCTGTTTGGGCTTTTGATGAAACATGCACCTTGTCTTTTCAATAATGACGAATTGGGCTGCATAAAATGTCCGGTTGATGGCTAATTTAACTCTCCGTTTATCAATTTACATGTATGTGCAGGACACGTACATAGGGGGGAGCAATCGTTATTTGCAATTAAGGGTGGGTGAACACATACATACCACTGTAATTTTATGTTGGTTAACATATATGGTTTCGATGTTATTATTTTTGTCATAAGGACTAAGATGTTGACTTACCTACGAATTGTTAAATATATTGCATGTTTAATGATCTATGGTTATCATTTAGTACCAATAGTTCATGGTACCTGTGAATTATCATTAGCGAGATGTAGATTGGATTAGAGCACGTTCCGTGCAAGATTGTGTTGGGACACGTTGATTGGCTACTTCTTAACCATTCAGTGGTGGCGAATAGTTGGAGAGAACTCTAAAATCTTATGTAAAAATATAAATGTACTAACATTTTTCTTATTGTGATTCTTACTTCCATCCAACCTCGTTATTTTAGATAAGATTATGTTCTTGTTCAACCGTGTTCTGATTTAGGACTTGTCGAGTGAATTAGTGTCCAAGATCACTAAGCAATAAGAGTATCTGGGTCGTAGTAAGAGAATCGATAACCATTATAGCCTCGTTTATTTCGTATGGGTATGGTATTATACGGACTGGAAATATAAACATTCTATCTGTCCGTTCAGTTTTTATTAATTGTGTGTGGGGCTTTTTTAAAAGTCGGGTTTTAATTCGCCCTTTGACCACCTCATATCGATCCAAAATATTGGACGGACGGACTGTCACCTTCTTAATCATGCAGTGATGGTTTAATGGTTAGGCTGCCTAGCTTTCATCCATCGGGTCACAGATTCGAACTGCATTGCAACTACTGCTTGAGCATCCGGGTAATATTACTATTCTTGACACGACCGTTACTCAAGGTCAGTTGATGAATAAACCTGTATTTGACAACCGAGTTACAGTTTATCTTGCTAGCAATTTTTTTATCAAATTAGTAAATTCTGCTTTTGCGTATCGTATTATCTTGTACTGTTGTGTACATTTTACAGGATTATGGTTCCATTAACCAACAAATCAGAGATGGAAACTCGTTTGAAGTGAGTTTACCTGTTTTGCATTTCGCCTGTTAAAAGTAAACCAGTTTAATCAAGTAAATAACATGCTTAAGCATTCAAAAGTATTTATATATAGGTTATCCAAATTTCGTACTAGAGAATTCTTATTATATTTGACGGCCACATTGTTACTCGTACTCGATGTTCAAAACGACGATTAGGCATATCTATTATTGAAATAAAGAAGGGTCTATAATGTATAATTAGTAGCCAGGCTAATTCGTGTACATTGGGTTTTGTCTATCAGTCAGTCGGCACCAACGTAAAACTTCGTACGTACGTACATCAGTCCGAGTTGCCATACCACATTAGTAAAGAGACGCAGTTGTCGATTCAAATCCCATAGTACTAGAGGTATTAAAAGTATAAGCAGTAATCGGAAAGATTAGGGTTTGAAGATATTATTCAATGAGTATAATCCAGTGAAATAAATTTGAAAAGAGAAAAAATAAAGGGACATGAAAAATTCAGAAGATTAGAATTTGGGAGAACACAAAGAGTGGATGCACCTGCGCCATTGCAAACAATTTTGATCCATGTCATTCAACGTATCTAAACATCGGTTACTATCATCTCGCGGATCCCAACCAGGTAGTTTACACCTACCAATGTGGCTCAGTCCACTTGTCAGTGGCTTCATGGATTTGTGCCATGTTTTGGTCTGGCCGCCCCTAGATTTCTCCCAACCTACACCTACACTATAAAACACCGCATGTCGGTGCAGTCGGTGGTTGGGCATACATAACACATGTTCCAACCATCTCAACTGTCTGTACATTAAAATTTTTCATATTGATTCTTCTTTGCACTCAAATGATTCTATGGCCTACTGTTTACGCTTAGCAATTGCATTCCAATAGGACGAAATTGTTTCATTTAATCTCAATGAGTCATCATCTAACAAATGAGTAGAATCCGATCTTTTCTTTATACTAATTTTAGTCGGTTTTTGTATATTGAACGTCGTAGAAGTAAATACTCTACAAGTTTTTTTTTAAATTATATGATAATAGTTTCATATAATCTCTGAAATTCTCAGAATACTACTAAGTGGATCATGACCATTTTCTGTCGATATATATATATATATATATATATATATATATATATATATATATATATATATATATATATATATATTATTGCTTATAGTAGATGCTAGCTTGAGTTTTTAAAACCACATTTACCAATTTATTATCAACATAAAAATAGAATCTTAATTAACACATCAAATAGAAATGTTTACTTTGCAGCATACTTTGTAAGAGATTGACCTCATAGAACTCGTCAGTCGGTCGCCAGCCATAAATATGATAACCCCATCCATTCCTAGGAAATAGTCTGAAACTTACCAACACGGCTCAAACCAAATATTGATGACTTCATAAACTGACACCATGTTTTGGTTTGTCCACTCTTAGCTTTCTTCTAATCTAGACCTACACAAGGAAACCGAGCGTTCGTTGTTGATACGTAATACATGTCTTAACCACCTCAGTTAATTCAGATTCATAATCTTAGCAAACGATTTACTATCTTTGCCGACAAAACTCGAGGGTAAATAGGGTCTTCGTCATCACAACGTAAAACCTGACAGTTATGTATGTGGGTTCAAGGTGTCATACCCCATAAACACAGAGAGATGAAATTATCGAGGTAAATCCCAGAATATTAGAGGTAATAATAGTATGATTGATGGTAGAAAAGATTAGACATCAAAGATACGATTCGAGAAAATATAAATTAGTGCAACAAAAAAGTTATAGAGAATTCAAAAGCTCAGGATTTCAGGGACGACAAAGGGTGAGTGCACTTACAACGCAGTAAACGATTTTGAGCCGTGTCATTCAATGATTCCTTTATACTTGATTGTCCGAGTTCCAGATATAGTACGTTTATTTGTGCTCATCTAATTCTACCCGTCCTAAATTGCACTATTTCGGGAATTCCTAGTTAGTAAATTAATTCGAATACTTCTAATCATCACGGCCTGGTAATGCCCTTGGGACATATGCTTCAGACCAATTTATTTATTTTAACACATAGATATTGGTACAAGGAGGCACCAAATACATATGTGCAACACAATCTCATTTGATATGTGTGAGGGCTGTGATACTGCCCGGGTGCCCAAACCGAAGCAGTTGGTTTTCTTAGGGGGCCACACTCGGAGCCTTTGGCCTGAAGGTCTGATCCATAAGACAGTGGAGCATCGTGAGGAGATGCAGTCCCATGGAAGCCGGTGACCAACCTTAGGTTCATATGCCATTTGTTCCTTTAGGATACTGGAGCCCATGTGCACCATTAAGTTTTCCAACTCCCCTAGGTGGACTCACCGTGTCCACCGGCCCGGTTAAAGCGCTGGACATTCGCTTTTTGTCCTCTTGATTTCGCAAACAACAGTAATGTCACGAGAATGCAGTGAGTAGGACAGAGGTTATATACGCGTGGCCATGTTAGAGCATTTGGAGTGGAAGAGCGGACTCTCCCCACTCTTGGCCGTACCAATGATCTCCAACCAACCTTGTCATGGGCTTTTCTGTTCAGCTGAGGATTTCAGTTTAGAGCTTGTCTCATGATGTTGATGAGAGGTTTCCATTATCCGTGCCCGACCCACCTCCAATATCTTTTCCCCATTTTCTCTTCAACCGGTAGTTTGATTGTTATCTGAAATAGTTGGTTATTATTGATGGTCTCTGACTAACGGGTCTGATGTATTTATGAATAAACAGTGGTCTTGAGTGCTGTTAAAGGTATGAGGGCGGTTATCACTTCCCGGTTGCCCACACAGTGGAAGGGTTGTTCTGGAGGTATCTGAAAAGGACATCGGATTAGAGGTGGTCTTAGTGACCTGGGAGCGTGACTGCAGTGCCCAAGGGACAACTGCTTGAGGTCGGTCACACACGACCTTTTTATGGGTAATTTCTATGTGAGCTCCGTACTTTTTGGGACCTTACCGCCGGAGACGGGTATCCGTGGGATAAGGCGAGGTGTGCATTTTTAGGGTCGACCTTTTCTAACCCCACCCCTCCTTGTGGAAAGGCAGCATCGCTGTCAAGCTGGTTGTCTGAAGGAAACACCTTACTGCTGTCACACCTCTGTACATTCAGCAGTACGACTTCGCCTTCGGACCTTGGGTTTGTTGCTTTTAGTCTTACCGCTCATCAACCGACCTGTCTGACATGGTAGGACCTTGAGGAACAGTTGTTTCAGCCAGTATAGCTCGATTGCTTCATCACGATAGGAAAGCTTGACCACCACGTCAAGGTAGCAACAACGGTCGGTGATGTATTGTGGGTAGAAGGCTATTTATAAATATATGTACCTTACTTGGAAAAGTTGTAGTAGTCCTCTATTTCTAGGCTCCGTTTAATAATACTGTTTTGACGCTTTGACACGTTGAAAATTGTGGCTTTGATCTTGAATGACAGTTCTGTAGAGTTCCAAATATTCTTCAATGACAGGAAGTATTCCATGTACCTACATCTTGTTTTAAGCATGGTTACTAACCCTACACTTAACCGTCCTCTGTTACCCATGCTGGAGACTGTCACGAGCTCCTGAGGTTCGCTAAATGGAGTTTTATCACCTGACTGTTCAGAGTTAAAACGTTTATGAGGGCTTTTAAATAGCGAACTAGTGGCCAAAAATAGGGTAGTTTTGATCAACAAAATCCACTGTATAAGACACCTTAGCTCACACGAATAGATAGTAAGACAAAAAATAGATAAGGGTTTGTACTATTGGGATCCGTTTTAAGTACTTTTTGATATGATATCATTCTAAAATCAATTTATTTCTTATTAGTTCCTGCTACCAATCCATAGATTGTACTTTTTTAATACTAATGATTGAATAAATATAAGTCGGGATCCGATTATTTTGGTTTAGTATACTTTCTGTTTTCTCGTTACCACACACACACACACACACACACACACACACACACACACACACACACACACACACACACGAGGTTGATGTTCTCACCAAGAGAGAAATGCCATCATCATAATAAAAACGAGTTAAGATTGTTTAAGTTGTCAACATTTTTAAATCTAAATATTTTGTGGTAACTATTGATGGCTCAAATGAGAACGTCTACGAACCTCTAGTTAGAAGCCATGAAATTAGTCATGCGTGAAGTGAAACGGATGTTCATCGGATGACACTAAACGATACTCACGATTTATCTCATATTGATAAGAGTTACAAACTATGAGCCATTGAGTTCTAATATGGTGATTCAAGAATATCGTGGTCATCACGAGACTTGGAAGCCGATTGACTTGACCCTGTATCGGTCGATAATACACACTGTGATGTTGTCTCAAGGTTGGATAAAGTGAATACTAATTATTCATCAGTTTCCAGTAGGATTGTAGCAGGTATCAATGATGAAAACTGCATCCGAATTATATGAACCTCGACAAGACTTTAATTTGATATAGATATTTGCGGTTGCGAACCGTATTGCCCGTTATTAATTTCTTCTAGTATCACAATGTTTGACTGAATGTACAGGGTGTATGAATCCAACAAAGTATTACGTCATTATTTTAGTCGTCTGTTAAAAGAATAGTTTTCTCTCTGTCTTAGTGTTGTGTAGTATCTCATTTGTGCTTTTTTCTTCCGGACTTCTTTTCGATTGGTGATCACTATCGTATGGCTTTCTTGTTATTGCTTACCATTTTAGGAATCGCTTGGAACAACTAGTTCACAATGTAATCTTTTAATACCAACAAAAAAGAACTCTTCATCATTTCTGTCTGCACTTAAAGTACCTGTAAGTTTGTGTGTAGTCAGGATGTATTTAGCTAAAAACAAAGGCCTTGTCATGCATTACAACTACATATTTTTTGGTAAAATATTCTCCTTGTTTCTTCAAGTTTCACAGTTTAATTATTGTGTTCATAATACTACTTGTCATATCAGTCGAAGAGCCACTGAATACTGTAGAACTCATCACATGATTGCTTTTTTACTGAATCCTGATTCTTCAGTAGTATGTGTTTGGAAATACGTTCAAGACTAAACTATAGGACATCATGTTTCTGAAGTTAGAACTTATTCTTTGTGTTTAAGTTTTTGTTCTGTTACAGATTTTGTGAGAACTCGATTTTTGTACTAAATATTCCTTAATGTGCTTTCAACTCAATATCCGTTCTACTGTATCTGTTACCAGACCTTGTTTGTAAAATGTGTTCTAGCTATTTTAATCCATACATTTCCATCCCTGGCGGTTAGATCTTTCTAAGTACGTAGGTGACACACAGAATATTCCCAATATAAACATCGTATGTTTCCGGTCTCAAGCACTTGTTCCTTGAGCTATTTCGTCACGTTTCCAGGTTTTTGTGTCATTTAATCCAGTTTTCTTTTCAGGTACCCCAAGAAAAAAATATCTTTACATGGTGTGGCCCACGCGAATTCTTTCTGTCATCAACCTACACTATCAGAACAACATGCCCGATTTACATTTCTTACTCACCGATTACAGGACCACAACTCACTACAAATAGGAAGTCACAATATGTATTTACCTAGGTCATTTGTAGTACAAAAATGTATAGCAGCCACTATGAACAACGGTAAAAGATATATTAACAGCCAGTAAATCACGTGAAACCTTGTACATCAGGTTTAATGAATACCCGGTAAAATGTATATAATAATCCACGGTAGCATAGTCTACAAAGTTCAACCTATTCATTCTTATCTAAAATAATCTTTGTAGTTTTGTATTTTATCCTTTTTTCTACAACAAGCTTTTTCTCACTTTATCTCTTTCAGGGTGTTATTGAATATTCACTGACTTTATTCTTCTCTAAGCTAGTTTCTTATACTTTCCTATTTTGGTTACCTATGTATATACGTGAAGTAGGCGGTTTCGACCCATCATCATCAGCAGATTTATCAGCTGTTTTTGATTTAGGTGGAATACTCGGTGGAATTATCGCTGGTTATGTATCCGATAGTACTGGATCAAGTGCTATTACATGTGTTGTAATGATTGCTTTGTCGATACCTACGGTAAGAAATCTTGCATAGTGGTAATGCATTTTCGCTTAACTTTTTTCACTTTTGTATTTAAGGGAAAAAGGTCGATAATGTGTGTATGTGTATGTGAAAACGAGAGAGAGGGAATCCATACTAAAGTTGAAACAAACTGTGCAATTTATGTGAATTTCGGCTGAGTATACTTACAACGGGTGAGATGAACATAAAATATCTGCTAACATCAATCTTCAATGGTATTTTATTCCAGTAAAGCCACTTAGGTTATAAATGATAATGTGGTGCGTTTGGTTTCAATAATAAAGATTTAAAGAAAGAGAGTATTCACAACATTGGTTTGATATTAAAAGACTGATTAGACTTTCTCTCTCTCTCTCTCTGTATATTATTAATTTTCAAATTTTTGGAAGTTGCAGAAATCGTTGGTTTTATTCAATGGAGGTACGCAATTTTGCTAACAAGATTTAATTCATCTCAAAAATCATTATTATAGCCATTTTTGATTTCAGCAGATTCTTTATCACTTATAATATTCTTTTTGAGAATAAATAAAGATAACATTCTTCAAGAGCAATAGTACCCATGTTCATTTGTTGTAAAGGCTTGCGAACGCATCCATAATGTTCTCAACATAAATATCTTATCTGTCAAATCTGCCATAGTTTATATCAATTTACTTAGGTTTGTTACCCCTCGTGGAGGAGCGTTGGTCGCCGACCAGGATACTCCGACCAACTTTGTCCTGGGTTCTCCTTTTCAGCTGTTTCTGATTGCTATTCGTTCTTTTGTTGTCTGCCTCCGATTTCAGACGTAATATGTTCTTGGGTCTTCCTTTCTTCTTCTGTCCTTCAGGATTCCATGTTACGGCTTGCGTCGTGAACTTTATATCATGATATATATGCATTGGAAAGTCATCAAGAAGAATAAATTTGGAGTTATTGATACCAACGGTAGTTGTAAGATGAAAGGAACACTTAAAAATATGCAATAAGAGTTTAGAAATATATCATGACGTTGGAGATTTTGTAAATTGTGAAACCACTATTTGTTTAAACGTCAGTTCAAACAGGAAGCCTAAAATTCTTTATTTAGTAAAGGCTTTCATTGATATCAACTTTTAGTCTTGATCTAATCATCTTGTATTTCTATCTGTCCTACCTCAGTTAAATCGAAAGAGCATGCCGATATGAATGGCGATCGGATTTACTTAACACATCTGCTCTATCCGTGTAAACGTCCTATATTGTTCATATATTTCCAACATATTTCAGTCACCAGATAAAATCTAAGCTTAAGAACATGATTTAGCCCCATTTCAACATTGATATTATGTTCTTAATATGAAAAATCTTAATCTTGTTAGTTTGAGAATCGCTTATTTGTCTATTTGTAAGTACTAGTCAGCTAGTCGGGAAACCATTGATACGTATAAGTAACTGCTACTTTTCAAATTGCACTTTAAGAATGTCGATCTCATTAGGTCATTTAACTTCATTTCATATTTAAAGAGGAGGTCAGGATGTAGTTTGCTTGATGGTATAACACGATCTTCGTTAGTGTTACCAATATTTACCATCAGAGTCATGAAACAGTTACTGACCTTTTCCTCGTTCTCATTTAATTTTTCACTCGTGGTATAAGACAAAATCTCCGTAACTATTATCTCCGATTTCATTATTCATTTCTTTTTATCCAACATAGTTGTATCTATACTCAGTCGTTGGATTTCATTCTTTAGCTCATTGTATCGGTAAGTTGAGCAAGGTTGGGTAGTTCATTTTATTTCGGTGTATAGTTGCAATTTATCTGTTGCTAAGTTTTTGGGAAAAAATACTTCTTGTTTAATGTCCGCATTGTGTAATTGATGATTCTGTGTGTTACCACACGGTCGTTTGACACGTTTCTGGTTTCCAAAGAAATCATCCAATTAGTATTTTTGTATTTTGTACAAGAAACTAGTTGAATTTCATGATGAAACGTAGTAAATTGTGATATATCCAATATCACTGAGTAGAAAGAGAGTGAACCATATTTTGATAAATAATCGAAAACTTAGTACTGTAAATGCTTTGATAAAGGTGCAGATCAGTGAGTAAAATGTACATCTTACAACCATTAGATTAAAAACTAAACCATCACTGCTGTTGGCTTGAGTTTAACCAGATCAGTAGTATTTTAACTACTTATCTGCTTAAACAAAAAGATTGTGACTCAAAAGCCAAATGAATATACGAATCAGTAATCGGTGTAAAGTTACATAAATGTATGACTTATTTGATAACTTCACTGACGTTGATTTTACTTCAGTTGTCATTCTTTCAATAAAACAGAACGACCTTTGTTTTAGATGGTAAGATTTATCAGTCAGTTACTCTTCATCGTCGTTTAGAGTTTTTGACTGATACCTTGGGGTTGGTGTCAAGCATTCTTTTCTAGTTTCGAAGTAATTTACATATGCTCCATAAGTAATTTTTAGTTTGCAATCATTATAGGTAAAGTAGAATACTAATGGTCCATCGCAACACTAAAACTAATGTCTTTCTTTGAAATAATTCTATGATGTATAACAACTTATCCTTCGTTTTCATCATACGGTAGTCTGCGGACTTACTCATGACAGATAGTAGAATAGAGCAGGCGACAGCTATTGTTGTATATCTCCGATACCTTCAATTCTTTTTGAAATTTATCTATCATCATACTCAGCTTTTCAGTACTACGGCATTTTATATGTCCTGCAGTCATCCACTCATAGATAATGTAAGACTTGGGAAATTATATATATATATATATATATATATATATATATATATATATATATATATATATCACATCAGGACAGCGAGGTGAAATTATCAAGATAAATATCGAAATGGTAAAAACAGTAGTTGTATTATCAATGGCAATAACAATGATTAACCATAAATGTAATTCGAGAGGGAAGAGTTAATTCGTAGGATGAGAAGTATGAAACAAATTTGAAGCTCAGAATCTAAGGGAAAACTAACATATATTGTATTTCTAGCATGTTTAGTTAGAAACCTAATTCTCCACGATGCATATTTGTGACCAGTTCAATTGTTTGCATATTATCTCTTACTTACTGAGATTTAAGCGATCAACTAGTATTATCAATCAATTGTTCAAAATTGTAAATGGTTACTGGTTCTGTTATTATTTTTATTATGCTTAACAGATCCTTTAAAAATATACTTTTCTAATGACTAATTTATACATTATTTTAGGTTTATTAATCCCACTGGGATTGTTTGTTAATGGTCCTTACGCTTTGATTACAACAGCAGTTTCAGCTGATCTAGGTACTCATCCTTCATTGTCTAAAAATTCTCGTGCATTGGCTACAGTAACAGGTATTATTGATGGAACAGGTTCAGTTGGTACGTTGTGCTAACAATACTCACTTCATGTTGCACTTGGTTTTACTCATAGTTGCGCCTATTTATTCTTGATACTTTGATGAGAAAAATCTTATTAGTATATATCTAAAGCTAACAAATCCGTAAAAACGTAATTCAAATGATCTAACCTATCGACAGTGGAGATTTGTATACCATGTGTTGAATGGAGTCAAAATATCTAACAGTTTCTACACTTTGTTGATAACTTTAAGTAAATCCGTCCAATGGTTATTTAATATTCTTAATATACAGTAATATATTGTCAGTCATTTGTTAAACTTAAGTTTATATCAAACATTTTATTATCTGTTTCGAACCAGTGAATAACCAAAGTATTATATATTTTGGTAGGTCTTTGCACAAATCAAGCATTAAATTAGTAATATCAAATGAAAGAAATTATTTAATCTTAGAATGTTAATTATTGAGTCCTGGCTTATTGTCTCAGCTGTTATATTCGTATTTGTCCACCACATTGAATATACATTTAAATATATGTAGTGTTCATGGTATTCGATTGTCCAACTAATCTGCATACCGTATTGAAAGAAGAGTAAAACGATGCCGTTAAGAGTGAAAGAATAAGTTATTTCATAATTGGTACATCTAAGCAGCTCCAAATTGATTCTAGCCACTTTTTAGTTAAATTGTTTCCATTATAAAACTGTTTTAGATGTTTAACCGTTAGTTTCTTCACTAACTGAACTCATTTGGTAACATTGAAGTATAGGGTTTTAAGCTGTTTATTGTTAGATTGTGTTTTAATACCTTTTGTCGACTTCATTATGATCGAAGAATAAGGGTGAATGAAATCTAGGTTAAACTATATTATATCGATGACCTTAAGTAGTTTTTAGGAGTGACCTTGAGATCAACTAATCATAATGCAGTCTTTGTGAAAGAATTCTATATTACGAAATGATAAAATTACAAAGGATTAAATATTTTAAGTCGAATAGTCAACTTATCAGGGCTAACTATCGGCAAGTTAGACTGAAGATCATTACCGTAACCTTAACTCGTATTCCTAACACTTTATTCCGCAAAAACGTCATCCCGTCGTTTCAAGTTCCGTAATAGTTGTTGGAACCATTACTTTCAACAACCAGCTATTCACACTGGCGTTTTAAATTTGTTCCAATATTTCCTAATTAACTATCTTAATTTTGGAACGACATATGTAAACGAACAATTTTGTTTTAAATTAGATATTCATCAGGCTTTACTCTAATGTACATAGATATTTACATGGAAATATTAAACCAATGGAGGCATTGCATTAGTCAGTAGTCACAATCCGGCAGATTACTTAACTAAATATGATAATATCAGAAGGGGTTTTTGTGGATATTATAGTAATTTCAATAGTCGAGATCATGAGTCAATTGAACTTGGACCACCATGGAAAACCTGAAAGCACTGGACGGCCGTCTCGTCCCATTGTGGGACTCCTCAGCACTGTGCATCCACGATTCCACCTCGCGAGATTCGAACCCAGGACCTATCGGCCTCGCGCACGAACGCTTAACCCCTAGACCACTGAACTTGCCGGCATCCAACGGTGTTAATGTCTAACTCACTGACGGCAATGGTGGACGTGTCGCTCAATTTTGTGGATTAGTTGGAGTAAATAATAGAAGTTGATGGTAAGAAGGCAGGTGTACGAGTAGTAGTGATACAGTTTATAAAGTAACAAAAGTTCTGATCAATAGTCCGACATAAGAAGTAGGTCAAACTTCGATAAATAGTTTTCGAAATAATAATCGCATAAACTAGTTAAAATTTGGCGGCCTGCTTGAATATCTGGGCTACCTGTTTCTGCCATCTGATTATTTCAACAAGTTATCTGTTTTTTCATTTGTTTTAACTTATAATTATGTCCATTAATCGCATAACCTATTCAGGCGCTTTTATGAAAAGCCTACGACCTTTCGCTGCACAAGTTACAAAAAGTACTATAAAAGACATCGTGGTGGTTGGCAATGTGTTAAAGAAAATGAACATTAATCGTATGTCGATTCCCGAGCTGCTAAATTTTAACTGCTGATCACTAATCAACAAAGTGGACTATCTGCAATTTCCACTAAGTCAAAATATGTATCGTAATTGTGGTGTCATCAAAATTCAAGAATCTTGGTTAAATGATTTACAGGATGACTGCCTAGTATCACTACGTGATTTCAAAATTTATCGTCAGGATCGATCAAACAACAAAAAGAGGTGTGGCGGCGGTGTAGCTACGTTTGTAAACATAAACTGGTGTCGATCTTCGTTTGTGTGTTCTAAGTTTTCAAATGACTTTATCGACTGTCTAACTCTAAGATGTCGTCCAAAACATCTGAATAAATACAAATATGTTTATGTTACCAATATCTACGTGACTCCAGATTGCACATCATCTGCACTATCTGTTTTCGCTGATGAATTCACTGAGTTCGCTGTTACTGCCTTCAGTGATTCACTTTCAGTTGTATGTGGTGATTTCAATTCATGTGACTGTAGCTTCCTTACGTCACTAGGTCACCAAAATGTAGTAGATTTTCCTACCCGTTTGGATGCTCATTTAGACTTCGTCTTGATTAATGATGTGGGTATATATGCGACTCGTAAACGTGCTCCATTGTCTAGCTCGGATCACTGTATAATTCGTGTTCTACCTAAAGTATATGGAAAGCATGGGAAGAGTACACTCCTACATCAAACCAAGAAAGTCAAATATAGGAATTACTCAGAAGAAAATATCCGAAATCTGAAAAACATGTTTCATACGACTAACTGGGAATTATTTACAGATGACTCACTGGAAAACACTACTGATGTTATCACTTGTTACCTTAAATTCTGTTTTGATATTTGTTGTCCCACTGAAACCATTTTTGTAAGTTTTGATCGACTTACATCTTCACAACTAAAACGACTACGGAGGGTGAAAGAAAAAACGTACAAGGAGAAAAACTCTAATGAAGTTCGTAAGCTAAATGGTCTGATAAACCTAGAGATTAGACGTCTCAACTCTATGTTTACTCGAAAACTCTCCAAGTATGTGGAAACTCTTTAAAAAACTTACAGGTGACAGACAGATTAGGAGCGATAACCAGCTGAATGTTTGTGACTTAAATAAGTCTTTTGTACGTCAGTCATCTGATGAGATGCTCCCTTCATCCACAGATTTAAAGAATAGCTGTGTTCCTAGTTTCACTGAAACTGATGTACGAAGATTTCCCCAGTCACTTAATTCATCTCGATGTTTGGGACCTGATGGTATCCCAAACATCCTTTTTAAAAAATGTGCTGACGTCCTATGTTATCCGTTCACAATTATCTTTAACAGATCCTTCTCATCTAATCTCATACCGAAAATGTGGAGAAAGATGAAGATAATTCCTGTACCCAAGAAAGCAACTGGTGATAAGAATGTAAAATTTAGACCTATTGCAATAACTTCACCCTTCCTCAAAACAATGGAAAAATTATTAATACTTCCACTTCAGCCTGCGATAAAAGAGCATATTGATCCATATCAGTTTGCTTACAGGCGCAAAAGAAGCACTTTAGATGCTGTTGCTGTTCTGCATCACAACATAGTGTTCAACTTAGAAAAGGGTAAGAAGTATGTTCGATGTGCTTTTCTGGACTATACTTCAGCTTTTGATTCTATACCAAGACAACGTTTACTTAACAAGTTAATCAGCGTCAACACTGACAGCTGGATAACCAACTGGCTATGTTCCTACCTCTCTGGAAGGGAACAGTACACTGTGTTTGGAGGAAAGTGTTCAGAGTCTCTACTGTCTCATGAAGGTGTACCACAAGGAGCTGTTCTTTCACCTCTTCTTTTCTCTTTTTCTGCATGATCTGCCATCTTCCACAGAAAACACTTTTGTGAAATATGCGGATGATCTCACTGTATGTATGCCTATCTCTTCCTCTTTACATCCCATAGAAATGAATGAGTTTTTGTCTCGTATTGATTGTTGGTCTGTTGGTAATGGTCTCATACTTAATCCGTCTAAATGTCAAGCTGTTAACTTTAGCATGAGACATGAACGGAATCTAAACACCATTTTGAGATCCCATAATGCTTGTACCATCGGAGACTCTTTGATAAACACAGTGTCGAAGGTCAATTATCTTGGTGTCACCTTTTCCTCTGATCTGTCTTGGTCTTCCCACGTTTTATTGTTATCGAAGAAGGTTTTCCGTCTGACCTACTACATAAAGAGATTGCATGCTCTTGGATTACTCGTCATTTACTCTTACAATTTGTCAATTCTTGCATATTACCTATTATTCTTTACTGTTCTCCATTATTCTTTCCCGGGCTTTTGAGAAAAGACTTTGCTGTATTGCGGAGAGTGCTGAAGGCAGTTAGCAAGATGTGTGGTGAATCTTTCGAGGTCATAATTAATATGGTTGTGGATAGACATTTAAAATCATGCAAACTCCTGGCAGGTGTTATTTTATCAGATACTAGCCATCCCCTTCACTCTTATCTTTCTCCTTGTATATCTTCTGGTAGAACGAGACGTAATTACATTAAAATCCATGCACGCAAGCAAAAGTATAAAAGTTCTATAATACCTTACCTAGCAAATATACTCTGTGACGAACAGGTTGTTAGAGTTAACCTAGTCAATAACCTGCATTCTTAACATGTTTTTAATTTGAAAAGTTGTACAGTTTTCCGGTTGTTTTTTTAAAAAACCTTTTATTTTTTTGTATTTGTTACTGTTTTTTTGTTGCGTAAGTAACTTGTTGAAATACCCTGTGCTGAGAATTCTATATTGTACCAAAATATAGTATTGAACAAAACCATTAATAATAATAATAATAATAAAATTACGTAATAAAACTCGTGTAAACAATCAGATAGTGAAGAATATAAATAGAATGAGATGATTGACGAAAAAAAATGCGTAATGTGAAAAATTGATAAAATCGTTCGTTAAGTCGTTTTGTTTTCGACAATAATTATTATAGACAAATTGATAAAATAGCTATGGGCTCATATTTAGGCCCAGTTTTAGCTTATTTCTTCTTAACAATAAGAAATGAACCGTTCATGTAAGCTGTCAATAAACTAGATCTACACTTCCGTTACGTCGATAACACATTCGTGACCGTAGATCGAAATACTAATAATGAAGAAGTCGTAAATCAGTTTAATAACATACACTCATCAACTTCATAGGTTGATAATATGGTTTGGTCTGTTCACTTCTAGATTTTCTGCTGATCTACTCCTATGTCATTCAAGATCTAGCCTGGGGGCAGCCAGTAACAAGGCCTGTATAACATGTATATCAGCTATTTCAGTTAATAAACGTTTATGGTTTAATTAATTGACTTATCATTTCTATTTATATATCATACATTATTACTGTTGTCGTTTTTACAATCATTGTAACTGTATAAAAGATAAATATTTTTATTTCATCGGCGGCATGATGTGTTGTTTTCATTTTTCATATTCGTTAAATTAGGTGCAGCGCTCGGACCTTTACTGTGTGGTCTCATGAAACCATATGGTTGGTCTGTCATTATTATTATGCTTATGGTCGCGTTAGCTCTGGCTGCAGTTGTAAGTTGCGTTTTCTATTACTTATTCTTTTATCTCCAAATAATCTGCTCTTAAAAAGTGTTATAAGTTCTTGTGTTCTGCGCTCCGATCCATTTACGATATGTACGCTTCTTACAGTATACCAAACCCGCTATGCAGATAAGAGTGCATGACTGGGATGTTTAATTGCCGAACCGAATAGTAATGTGGACAGATCATGGATAGTTAAACAGTTTCTTCCGTGACCTAGATAGCTGTATGTAGGTTGAGACCCTTGTCTAAAATATATGCTACTTCTTCCCGTCTCATTTTTCCTAAGTGATTTCCCACTTAACATTTAAACTTCAGATGACTCGTGATCGTCTAGATTTGGAGAAATCAGACAATATCTAAAAATCTCTTTATCATCACCCCCTCCTGATAAGTTTTTCCTTTTATTTTTAGTTGATGTGAGGAACATGAACTTCCTACCTAATAAAGTATTTAAGAACTTGTGGAAGATTACTTCCTAATTTAAAGATTTCCACCTCATATATCAGCTAAAAATTGCTAACTGGGACCTGCCACCCACCATGAGGTAGAAAACTCCAACTAAGAGTCACCAGACGATTCCATTCTAGGATCTTCTTTCCACCTGTCGCCAAATGCTATTCATGGTCTTGATGTCTGGCTCCAATTATCAGCGACATTTTTGGCCTGGTTCTTTTCCTTTTGTCTTGAAGAATATAAGTCAGGGCTTGACTTGTGGTTCAGTTTGATGGTTTCCGTAAACTGTATCCGATCCACCTCCAGTTTCCTTTCCCGATTTCCTCCTCAACCGGCAGTTGGTTTGTTATCTGTAATAGGTAGGATTTCCCATTCGGTTTAGCAGCACTGTTGAAATGGTTTTGTACTGACAGAGGCTTGACTGCAGAATTCTGAATGAAGCTCTCTGTCGTTACCGCAAGGTTCAAGCTGTGGGATGGATTATGGTTAGTCATAGGATTGACAAACACCTCGTCAAATTCCATCCAGCTGAAAAGGTCAAGAAAGTACCGTAATTGAATTACGTTGATCACATAACTTCCCATGTTCATAAATTATCTTGTGTCATTTTATATTGGCTTTTGTGTTTAATGGATAGAAAGTATACTTGTTAACTTATTTGATTTGATTGCCTGGTATTCACAGTTAATTCTTGCGTAAGAAATCCGAATACTACTTGTTTAAAGATAGAGTAATGCAACTATCATTGTATTATAATTTGCTGGTTTATGATACGACACATGGTCAACTATCTATAGATTCTTTTATTTCAAATTGTATTGCACTCAATATAATCATATTAGATAGAAAGCATGTACTACCACGATACGTTCATTTTATAAGTTTAGGAATTAAGTATAAAAAAATGATGACATATATATGTGCTTATTTATTATGCTAAGCTTTTATTACTGTCCGGTTAACTGTTAAAGCGGAAATATATTGAATAGTGTTATGACTCGAAATGGTAGTGAACAAGAACACGGGCGGGGACAATCGAATACAATTTGACAAAAAATTACAAAGGATCTCAATAAAATCTGAGAACCATATAGTAAATCATTAATTTGCGAAATATCAATCCATTGTCTCAGATTTCATTGTTCACCCGTTCTCATGCCAATTGCGTTCCGTTCCTGTTCTCCTTTCATCGACCTCCTACTGAAATACATTGTATGTCTGACCACCGTTACATACTACTTATGTGGATATAAGTAACCCACACCACAGTATTAGTCATGAGACGTAATTAGATGTTATAAATAAATTACCACTATTTTAATTTTTATTTCTAATGCCGATGTAACTTTTGTTTTAAACTCTCATCACAGTTGCTTTTCCGTATGGTAGCCAATGAAAGTCGTCAATGTTGTTTCAGTGTTGAACAATCATTATTACCATCATCTTCATCACTGTCGAATGCGGCTGATGCTTAAAGTCAGAAATGGTTATTCAGTATTTTCCAAACCTAAGCAAGATTTCAAAGAGATTAAGTCGAAATACTTCAATAGATTTATAAAACTTTAATTTTGATACTATCTGTTCGTGTTTTCTGCAAAAAAGGAGAGAAAACAATGTAATATCATCATTGCTTATTTGTCAAAGTTGATTTTCCCATTCTGTTGGTTTGTCGATTTATTTTCTTTTTTTTGAACTGATAATGTTCTTATCCATTTTGACATTGATAAAGAATATTTAAGTTTTCTGTATCCAAGAGGTGACAATTATGATTAAGATAGGGGTAATTTTTAATCCAAAACTACTTATCAACGTAAAAAATTAAAAAAAAGGAAAGTATAAATGATTTAATAATTAATTTTAATAATAGTTTTCGATACATATTTAGCTGAAATTATTGATTTTTCTATTTACAATATAATATACATAGAAATATATATTTTTTTTCGTATTGTGTTATTTTATGAGTTATATTGTTTTATCCGTTTACACGACTTGGCTACCCTTTTCATTTTCTTAATGTAAAATTATAACAATTTTAATTTGTATTATTCTTGTCTTTCGTTCTATTTTATATTCAAAAACTTTTCAATTATTACAAATTAATTATAGTAATAATAATAATCTCTTTATCATATTGTAAAAATTGAGCATGGAATTATGTTTCTTATTAATTGGTTATTAGTTATTTTCAAAATATAATCAAGCAATAAACTTTAAATGTATCAATCAACGTTCACTGATTTATATATATATATATATATATATATATATATATATATATATATATTATGAATTCTTTTAAAAGATCTTCTTCCTTTTAATTTATGATAAATAATATCAAATGTATGAAATTAACCGCGGTACACTTACGTTTATTACCCCTCGTGGAGGAGCATACGTCGCTCACCAGCATTCATCATCCAACCCTATCCTGGGCAATCCTTTCCAGCTCTTTCCAGTTGTTATTCATCGTTTTCATATTTGCTTCTATTTCCGACGTAGTGCTCTTTTGCCTTCCTCCCATCTGCTTCCCTTCAGGATTCCAAGTTGGCACCTGTCTCGTGATAAAGTTTAGTAATCTCCGTAATGTATGTCTTATCCATTTCCATCGTCTTTTCCTAATTTCCTCTTCAACTAAAAGCTGGTTTGTCTTCTTCAACAGTAGGCTGTTGCTGATGGTATCCGGCCAATGGATGTTGAGTATATTGCGTAGACAAATATTTATAAATACTTGTACTTTCTTGAAGATGGTTTAGTAGTTCTCCAAGTTTCAGCTCCGTACAGTAGGACTGTCTTGACGTTTGTATTGAAGATTCTGACTTTGATATTGGTTGACAGTTGTTTTGAGTTCCATATGTACTTCAATTGTAGGAATGCGGCCCTGACTTTGCCAATCCTCGCCTTTACGTCTGCATCCGATCCTTCTTGTTCATCGATGATGCTTCTCAGGTACGTGAAGGATCCCACATCTTCAAGAGTTTCGCCATTAAGTGGGATTCGGTTAGTGTTCTCCGTGCTGTATTTGAGGATCTTGGTTTTTTCTTCGTTTATGTTGAGGCCTACTGATGCAGAGACTGCTGCTACACTAGTTGTCTTCATCTGCATTTGTTCGTGTGTATGAGATAGGAGGGCTATGTCATCTGCGAAGTCCAAATCGTCTAATTGGTCCTGAGATGTCGAGGTCTTCATAATACAGTTGACCATCATAAGAAAGAGGACGTATTACATTGATTCAATTCAAATTAGAAAAAAGTTCTAGTATTCATTTGATCACACAAAATACCAAATATGTTTCGGCTGAAATATGAACCACATTGGTCTAAGTCGGTAACCTCTACTGATTAATTACAGGTGGATGATTATAGATATTTAAAAATAAGTCATTGGTTGACCTGCTTTCAAAAGCTGTGCCCAATGTATCTGGAATATCATTAAATGCACGGCGGTTGTGAACACTATTTTCTTCAGTTGTATGGATCATTGAAATGGCTGCAAATGAGAAATTTAAACGATTCTGGTTTTCTATCGTTAGCCCTATATATATATAATTCTACTAGAGATTCAAACAAATTTTCTTTAAAGAAATTGACTAAACTTGAGAAAACAATTGAGCGAGAACTACAAGAGTATTTTTTATTTAGCTATGGATTTCTAAAACTTAATTTGTAAGTACTCTAGTTTTGCATTTTTCGGTTGGGTCAGAAATACAACTGGATAACGTACTTCACTTAGATTATCAAGTTATAAGTTCTACATAATTTATAAAACATGAGAAACAAACCATGAACAAATGAAATTAGTTTAAAACATCTTTCAGTATACTGCCATTTTCTCACCATAGGTCTACATTAATATAATAATAGTAAATATACTATGAAAATAATAATTACAGAATTTATATCAGTTTATATACATAATCAGCTTAATATAGATAGTAGCATTATATGTAGAGAACAGGTATGTGATATCAGATTGTTTTGAAGTGTTTCGTTCACGTGTGTCACGGCAACACCCAGGTACGGCCGGGGATGGAGGTCAGCTCTCATATAGCCACGTGCATACAACCACTCCCAGCAAAGTCCTGCTCACAGCCTTCCCGTGGCGGAGGTGTTGTTTACGAAACTCAGAGGAAGAAAAGCGAATATCCGGCGCTTTTACTGGGTTGGTGGATATGGAGGATCCACCTAGGGGAGTTGGAAAACTTTGATTCCAAACCAGTGGTGCGTCGTGGCTCCAGGATTCTGAGACAACGGATGACTCATTGTTGTTCACCGGTTACCATTAAACTACCTATCCTAACGTTGTTCCGTTGCCTTGTTGATCAGACCTTTGGGTCAATGGCTCCGGGTATATTCCGCTGAGAAAACCACCTGCTTCAGTCTGGGTACCCGGGCATTATCACAGCCCACACACAAATGAAGTGACTTTTGTGGCACATATGTATATGGTGTCTCTTTGTACCAATATTTATGTGTTCAAATAAATAAATAGAAGGGGATCAGCCGGGAACCGAAGATAGCTTACTTACTTACGCCTGTTACTCCCGATGGAGCATAGGCCGCCGACCAGCATTCTCCAACCCACTCTGTCCTGGGTCTTCTTTTCTAATTCCATCCAATTCTTGTTCATCGTTCTCATGTCTATCTCCATTTCCCGGCGTAATGTGTTCTTTTCTCTTCCTCTTTTCCTTCGGCCTTGGGGATTCCAAGTGAGGGCTTGTCTTGTGACGCAGTTGGGTGCTTTCCTCAATGTGTGTCCTATCCACTTCCAGCGCTTCTTCCTGATTTCTTCCTCCACTGGAACCTGGTTTGTTCTCTCTCCCACAGTACGTTGTTGCTAATGGTGTTTAGCCAACGGATCCGAAGTATTTTGCGAAGATAACTGTTAACAAACACTTGTATTTTCTGGATGATGGCTTTCGTAGTTCTCCAGGTTTCTGCCCCATACAGTAGAACTGTCTTGACATTTGTATTGAAAATCCTGACCTTGGTGTTGGTTGACAGTTGCTTTGAGTTCCAGATGTTCCTCAGTTGTAAATATGCTGCTCTTGCTTTACCGATCCGCGCCTTCTTATCTGCATCAGATCCACCCTGTTCATCAATGATGCTGCACAGATATGTAAAGGTTTTTACATCTTCCAAATCTTCTCTGTCAATTGTGATTGGATTGGTGCATTCTGTGTTGTATCGGAGAATCCTGCTTTTCTCTTTGTGTATATTGAGACCTACTGCTGCTGATGCTGCTGCCACACTCTTCGTCTTCTCCTGCATTTGTTGTTGCGTGTGGGATAGAAGGGTCAGATCATCTGCGAAGTCTAGATCGTCCAACTGCATCCTAGATTTCCATTGTATCCCGTGCTTCCCTTCAGACGTTGACGTCTTCATGATCCAGTCGATCACCAGGAGAAAGAGAAAGGGTGAGAGCAAGCCGTAGTGTCGAAGAAGCTTCCATAGTGTTGTTCTGTCCACGCTATCAAATGCCTTTTCGTAGTCAATGAAGTTGATGTAGAGTGATGAATTCCATTCAATTGATTGTTCCACAATGATCCGTAGAGTTGCGATTTGGTCTGTACACGATCTATCCTTACGGAATCCTGCCTGTTGGTCACGAAGTTGGGCGTCTACGCAGTCCTTCATCCTGTTTAACAATACCCTGTTGAAGACTTTTCCCGGTATTGAGAGAAGAGTGATGCCCCTGTAGTTATCACACTTGCTGAGATCGCCTTTCTTCGGTATTTTGATCAGAAGTCCTTCTTTCCAGTCTGTTGGTACTTGTTCCTCATCCCAAATCTTATTGAAGAGAATGTGGAGTATCCTTGCAGTTGCCGCTACGTCTGCTTTTAGTGCCTCTGCTGGATGTTGTCCGGTCCTGCTGCTTTGCCACTCTTGATTTGTCTGATGGCCATGCTGATTTCTTCAATTGTTGGTGGGCCAACATTGATTGGGAGGTCCGTGGGTGCTGCTTCGATGTTGGGTGGGTTCAGTGGAGCTGGTCGATTCAAGAGTTCTTTGAAGTGTTCTACCCACCTGTTTTGTTGCTCTTCAATGTTGGTGATTACCTCGCCTTCCTTGCTTTTCACTGGTCGTTCTGGTTTGCGGCGATTTCCAGAGAGTTTCTTTGTTGTGTCATACAGTTGTCTCATGTTTCCTTCTCTTGCAGCCTTTTCCGCCGTCGTTGCTAAATCTTCCACATATTTACGTTTGTCGGTTCTGATGCTCCTCTTCACTTGTTTGTTTACTTCTGTGTATTCAGCTTGTGCCTTGGCTTTTTCTGCTCTTGTTCGACTGGTATTGATTGCTGCCTTCTTGTTCCTCCTTTCTTGAATCTTATCCAGTGTATCAACAGTGATCCATTCCTTGTGATGGTGCTTCTTGTGACCCAGGACCTCATGACATGTTGAAGTGATTGCCTCTTTGATCCCCTTCCAGTTGCTCTCCACAGTAGTTCCTTCTCCATTGAGTAGATCATGAAAGGCCTGGAACTTGTTGCTGAGGACTATCTTGAATTTGTTGAGTTTGTTAGTATCCTGAAGAAAGGCCGTATTGAACTTTTGTGATATTGTCCGCCCCGTTGTCCAGTGCTTCTTGAGTTTCAATTTCATCTTG